CCAATATTGTCATCATCATCATCGCCTTCAATAACTTCAGTCTTTCCGATAACCATATCAAAAAATGGATTCGTGATCAGAGCGAACAGTGCGTCATTACATTTGAAACCATGTTTCATAGCGCGTTCATCCTCATCTTCTTCATCATCCTCATCAAGATCATCGCCACCACCCTCATCATCATCATCACCATCAATTCTTGCTCGAGTCAAAAAACCGCTACAGTTATTAATCCCGTTCCTGTTGTTCCTGTCTTACTACGTTGCTTGCCTGATGTACGACTACAGCCGAACGACAACGCTGACCATCCTTTTAATGCTGATCATCGCTGGCGCTGCCTTCAAAATCATCATCTACTGGCGCAGATGTTATCGCAAAAAGAAGAAAAAACGGAAAGAAGATATTGGGAAGGATGATAATAATGAAAAAACAGCTGAGGATGGCACCGAAAATAATAATTCGCATAAAAATGTTGATAACTTGAATGAACTCAATGGAAACGCTTCAAATTCAAAATATTCTCAAAAATGTAATAAGACGTCGTTAAAGATTGTCGTTTGTTTCCTTCTATGGATGGCGATTCTTAATTTCTTAGTACTGCACGCTGTCGTTGATGTCGCGAGGTTGAGATGTGTCGCCACGGCTGGTGTCGTCCTGCTGCTGGCTACTCTTACGTCATCAAGTCTTCAGCAGGTGGGAGTGAATGAATGAATGAGTGTGTGAGTGAATAAATAAATGAACGAATTTTTCTCTCCATTCAGATATCTTGGACTCTGGTGAGCGTAATGATATTCGTGCAGATGACATTAACTGCGCTGGTCTTACAAACGCCAGCTGGTTACGACGTATTCAAGTTCATCTTCGAACAAGTCGGTAAACTATCTTTGCAGTACCCGGCTTACGGAGCCTCCGCTGTCTATTCCGACCCCTGGTTCCTCCTACATCCCAATGCTATGTTTGTTAGTCTCTATAGTTTCTACTCTTCTTTGTTGGGTGTCTCTACTTGTTGTTCAGCGCTGCTAGGTGTCTACACTTGTGATTCGGCGATATTTTCATTGATTTTTTTCTACGTTTGTACAGTTTTTTGAGTAAATTTTTTATCGCCATTATATTCGCCAATCACAGCACCACCATCATCGTCGTCATCATCAGCACCACCATCATCATCATCAACAGGTCACAAGCTGCGTTACAACGATCGGCTGCTTAATCTCAATACTGAAGAACATCTTGCAAAACGTTCTTTTTTTTCATAACTACCTTACTAGTTATTTATTAATTATAATACCATAATAATAATAATTATTATTATTTTTATAATTATAACTTTTAGTTTGCCTTCTTCCGAACGTTTTACTATAAACTGAGAGACGTAAGTGATGCTGCCCTCCTCATGCTCATCTGTGTGGTCTACGCGTTCGGATCTTATTACGGGCTCATATTTTCTCTGTCTTTCGGAGTAATTATAATGATAATTATATTTATTATAACAATAATTATAATTATGAACTATATTATTGACAACATTCCCAGGTTGAACTGCATAACATGATAACGGGTCTGGTCTCTCTCTTCCCATCCTGCCTCCTCGTCTCAATCATCATCTTTCCACCGCTCAATAATTTTCCTTTTCGACAACATCATCGACATCAAAAAGATCAGCGACAGTGCAAGCAAAACATTCTCAGACCTCCCGAAGAAATGAATGGTGAAGCATTAAAAAAGTTGAAACGCAACAACATCTTCGAGGACGCTGCGAACGGTGCGGTCATCACTTTCAGCATCGTCTGGATGTCCATGGCATTCTTCCTGGCATGGTGTTCCATCTACGCCTTCATCGATAGCACTGTCCAATGGCTGGCCGCGAGAGTTGGATGGAAAGTTGGTTTGCAAGTATGCATAATTTTTTGTTGGTTGTTTAAGTTGAAGTTGTTGATAATCAAATTTCAAAAAATTACGTCAATAAATTCATTGTAAAACAACATATTTAGAAGGTGTTCAGTTGCTTGTTTCAGCCAATAGCGTTCATGGTCGGCGTGACTTGGTCTCAAGCACCAATAACAGGACAGCTACTGGGCGAGAAATTATTTGGCTACACGCAATTGGCTGTCAAAGACTTAGGCTTTGCAACCCTTGATGGAAGATTATCAGTAAATTCAATTTATCATCTAAATTTTAGATATAAACTTTTCTAGTTTTGTCTTTCATATTCCAAACGGGGTACTAAGAAACAATTACTTTAGAAAAAAAAAAACAACAAAATAAATTTAACAGGGGGATTCTTTGACAACGGCTACCCACTTAACAATCGGATTCTGTTGTGTGTCATGGTTCGGAATGATCCACGCGGCCACAGCGATCATGTTCCCGGCGCATTTAAAACGGATGAGTTCACTAATCGTTAAGATGATCTGGATTGTTCAGCTGGCCGGCCTGTATGCAGCTTCACTTACATCAATTTTGTTGCCTGCCGAAGAAAATTGGACCATTGATAATAACTCCACCAAAGCCACCGTCTGGAAGTTTGAAACGTTTTTACCAAGAAAAGATGATATAATGACAATATTGGATTGATCAGATGATAGAAGTTGGTGTTATCAACAACTATCTTGCTGAAAATTGAACTATCTTTTGAATGTACTGATGAGTTCTCGGCAGAATTTCAAACTTTTGTCGAATATTGCATGATGTCATTTGAAAATTTATTGACTTAATTGTAAAGTTTTATGAAATATTTCATTGTTGAACTGTCTCGTTGAATTTACAAACATCAATCAGTTGAAATCAAGGATTTTATCAACTATTGGAACGTAAAATTCGTGAAATATGAATAAATTATTGAATTTTAAATGTATATGACTCATTAAAAACATAAAAACTACGTAAGACATAATGTTGTTCTAAATTTGTAATAGTAAAAATTTTGTAATTCTGTCAAACATTCACCAGAAATCGAGTCGGTAATCAAAAAATTCTGCAGAAAGTTGGCGATAATTTTTAAGTAATCGAACAAAAACGGTAATTACTTGCAGCCTAGCGCATCGCTACTTTTAAAATGTTTTGTAAAAATTTGAATAAAATCGCAAAAAATTAAATAAATAATTAATTTAATATGTTTAGATAAAAATATATAATAAAATAAAATAAAAATTTGTTTAATTGATTTGATAAACAAACATTGAGGCGACATGTTTTTTCGTTTAATTTTTTATAATTTATTCTTAATTTTATACCTGGTGATTGTGTTGATTAGGAATTTCGAATTTGCACTGGCCGATGCTCCGATCAGTGCTGATGATAATGAACGGGAAATTTTAGAAAATGACCACCTACTCCGATCTTTGCCTGCTGGGAACTCTCCGGTGGTTAACAATGCTTCAGCTGCTTTTAACTTTAACAAGTTTGTGTTTGCAATTTAAGTTAATTAAACTGTTGAATTAAATAATTTAATAATAAATTAAATAATAATTATAAATGAGAACTAACCATTTTTGTGGGGCACTTGTCCAACTTAATAAAGGCCAAGCGTCCGGTTAAATAGAGATCATTATATTATATATAAAAATAAATAGAGGCTAAAGCCTAAATGTCTTAGGAAACAATCTTTTGTAGACCACCATAAATTCAATGCTAGTTTCATTATTCATAACATCAAACTGATGATTTGTTGTTTAGTCAAAGCGAAATAGTGAATCAGTCAATGACCACACCAGTTAGCAGTACCAGCACATCTCTGCAGACCACTACCCAGCTAAATCTGCCTAACATGGGGGCAGCGGAAACAGAGAAGCACTACAGTCTCACCATTTTTTTCATTCTTCTCGTTGTTGGTTGGTTTTTTTCTTTTTTTTAAGTTGTTTCAGTGTAGGTTGTTGTTGGTGGCAGCCATTGTTTATGCTATTTTATTTGTCACCAACATTTATTCACATCACTATTTAGTTTGTAATCATAATTTTCATTATTCAGCAATAGGAGTTTTTGTGGTCCATTTATTACTGCAAACCAAATTTCATTACTTGCCCGAGAGTGTTGCCATTGTCCTTATTGGTTAGTTACCCACAATGATGATTGTGATAGTTATGATGAAGATGATGATGATGAAGATGATGATGATGATGAAGAAGATGATGATGAAGAAGATGATGATGAAGATGATGATGATGATGAAGATGATGATGATGAAGATGATGATGATGATGATGATGATGAAGAAGATGATGATGATGAAGATGATGATGATGATGATGATGAAGATGGTGGTGGTTGTGATGAAGTCAAAAAAAATTTAAAATTTTTGCAAGGAACCCTGCTTGGTATGTTGATGAAGATTCTTGAGAAATATAATGTGGCAGATTGGAAGGTGGGTAAACAACATTCATTCACTCATTCATAAGTTTTGTTCTTTTATTCATCATTCATTCCTTTATTTATTTATTCGTTTATTAACTCATTCCTTCATTCGTTTATTCATTAATTCCTTCATTCAACAGACAGAAGAAAGTTTCCCACCAACTATGTTCTTTTTGGTTCTCCTTCCACCCATCATCTTCGAATCTGGCTACAACTTGCATAAGGTGGTTCTTAATATCTCTCACTCACTCACTCACTCACTCACTCACTCACTCACTCACTCACTCACTCACTCACTCACTCACTCACTCACTCATTCATTCATTCATTCATTTATTCATTCAGTCACTTATTTATTCATTCAGTCATTCATTCGTTCATTCATTCATTTAATTATTTGTTCTTTCACTCAACTTACTCGCCAACGTCAGGGAAACTTCTTCCAGAACATCGGCACAATCTTGGTGTTCGCCATATTTGGGACGGTTCTCTCCGCTGTTGCCGTCGGGGCTGGCGTCTTTCTTCTTGGAAAGGCTGGTTGATTGATCATTTGAATGAATGAATTAATGAATGAATGATTGCATGATCGACCAGGCAGACGTTGTGTACAGACTGAGCCTTCCCCAGAGTTTCGCGTTTGGATCTTTGATATCAGCTGTCGATCCAGTGGCTACACTTGCCATATTCCATGCTATCGAAGTTGATGAGGTTATCGTTGTTGCTGTTGTTGTTGTCGGCGATGATGATGATGATCATCATCATCCTCTTCCTCTTCCCCAGGTTCTCTACATGCTGGTGTTTGGTGAGAGCGTTCTGAACGATGCTGTTTCTATTGTGCTGACCACGTGAGTGATCGTGATGATGATCTCAACAATAACAACAATAATAATAATAATAATAATCTCCTCCATCACCATCTTCATTCATCACGACGACCATCATCGAATGCAACAACAGGACCGTGATGGAATCAACGAAACCTGAAATGGCAGACATGCCAGCCCTGACGACCTTTTTCACATTCATTGGTTTGCTTGTTTGTTTGTTTGTTTGTTTGCTTGCTTGTTTGTTTGCTTGTTTGTTTGTTTGCTTGTTTGTGTGTGTGTGCGTGTGTGTACGTGTGTGTGCGTGTGCGTATTGTCGTTATTTAATTCATTGTTGTCAAATTGAATGAAGTGACATTTTCATTGTTTTCACATTATATTGATTGAACACCTGGACCTCATATTATTTTATTATTATTAATGTTGTTATTGATGTTGTTGTTATTGTTATTATTAATCACCATCATCACCACGGCGACAACAACTACAACAACCAGGCAGATTCTGCCTGATGTTCTTCGCTTCTGCCGGCATTGGAGTTCTTTTCGGTCTCATCAGCTCTTTAATATCCTTTCTCAATTAGTGGATGGATGGATGGATGGATAGACGAATGAACGAGTGAATGAATGTGTGAATTAATGAAAAAATAATTGGATGAATGGATGAATGATTAATCGGAAAAAACGAATAAAAAAATAAATTATTTAGTGACAAAATTTTCATAATTGAGTTTGATGCTTTTTTCTCCCTAACCCTTCTTTAATCTTTGTCATAATCATCATCATCATCACCGTCATCTTCATCTTCGTCGTCATCATCACTATCGTAATTATCATTATAATCACCGCAACGACAACACATCCTAAAGTTTATTGACCTCCGAAAAACTCCCTCTCTTGAGTTGGGCATGATGTTGATCTTCTCGTATGCCCCATACGGGCTGGCCGAGGGCATCCATCTCTCAGGTACCCTGCTATATCATCGTATGTTAGGTATTTGCCGACGTACGTACGTACGTACGTACACACGCACATATAAATATATACTTATATTCAATACACGTGTTCATGTTTAATGTGGGATGGCGTTCAATACTGTGCTTGTTTTATTATTATTATTATTATGACGTCATTGGCAGGAATTATGGCGATACTATTCTGTGGAATAGTGATGTCACATTACACGCACTTGAATCTGTCACCCGTCGTTCAGATAACCACACAGCTGACCTTCAGAACTGTCGCCTTCATGGCAGGTTGGCTGATTGGTCGGTTGATTGTTGGACGTGATAGATTGATTGATTGATTCATTCATTCGTTCATTCATTCATTTGTTAAGTAAACTAGCCCTGACCTACTGTTCCCCTGCAGAAACTTGCGTCTTTGCATACCTCGGCCTGGCTATCTTTAGCTTCCCACACGTCGTCAAGCCTGCTCTAATCATTTGGTGCATAGTTAGTGGTAGTGGTGGTGGTGGTGGTGATGGTATTGTTGGTGATGATGATCTTATGATGATGGTCGCACGCACGCTCACACACGCACACACACACACGCACACATATTCAGGTGTTGATTCTGCTGGGCAGGGCTATCAACATCCTTCCACTGAGTTTCCTCGTTAATTATTTCAGAGAGCACAAGATAACACCGAGAATGCAATTCATTATGTGGTTCAGTGGTCGGTTCATTCATCTATTTATTCATTCATTCATTCATTCAACCATTCACTGAATGAATGATTGATTGAATGAATGAATGATGGGCGTGAACGAGCAGGCTTGCGAGGTGCAGTGTCATTTGCATTGAGTCTGCACTTGGAACTTGATTCGGAGGCCCACCACGTCATCGTCTCCACCACTCTGATCTGCGTCCTCTTCACCATCATCATACTCGGCGGGTCCACGCTGCCTCTCATGAAGGTTGCTGGCTGGCAGCTCTTTTCTGTCCGTTCATTCATTCATTCATTCATCCGCTCATTCACTGGACCATTCAATCCTCCATCAGTACTTGGCATACGTTGATAAGAAGACGAAGAGGATGAAGAGAAGAAAATATGAACGGAGAGTCACCATGTCCAAGACTAAAGAGATGGTCAGTTGTTGCTGTTGTTGTTGTTGTTGCTTCTGACCAACCAATCAATCGACCAACCATTCAATCAACCAACCTATCGATCAACCAACCAATCATTTCCAGGGTGAGGCGATAGATTCTGAATATATGTCCGAGCTCACAGAGGAAGATATTGAAGATACCAGCGTCATCAAGCCCCATCTGAAAGGTGATTGCACGGCTGGCGGGAAGCTCTTAATGTCTGAAATTTTTATGTTGTTTTTGATTGCTGCTCATTCATTCATTCATCATTGTCATCATCTTCTTCTCCATCTTCGCCTTCTTCTTCATCTTCTTCATCATTGCTGTCAGGGTTCGCGAAGTTAGACGCCAAATATCTCATACCTTTTTTCACTAGAAGATTCACTAAACAGGTACATGCTAATCTTGTGTTCATTAATATTCATAATATTGTCCTTGAGATCATGCTAAACTGATTTGAACAACTCAGGCGGAAGATGACGTCATTAAACTAACTAATTTGCATAATTTATGCAGGAGGTGAAGGACGGTCGCAAGCAGATGAACAACCTTGTTAAGAAGTGGTACGACGAACTGAGGGAGGAGTCAGGAGGAGAGGAGGATGGAGAAGAGGATGATGATGATGGTTATGTTAATGAGAGGGACACATCAAACCACGTGATCACGAATATAGATGACGTCGATGATTCCAATTATATAAATGGAATGAATGGAGTAAAAAATAAAAACGAAGAGCAATTGGAGCTTGTTAGGACCAACAAGAAGTCATGAAGGAGGGAATTTAGTAGATTTGATTGGCTGGCTGGCTGGCTGGTGGATTTTAGCATTAATTAGTTTGTAGAATTAATATTAGAATCAATAATAATTCAAATTATTAGTGAAGTTTAATTATTAATGTTGGTGTATATCAATATTATTGATGTTAATGAGTTGATTGATTCGATTGCTCTGCTACGATCTCTTGAAATTATTTTCTGATGTTTCGATTTGTGATTATTTCATGTGCAAATATCTTGCAAGAGGCATCTGGCTACTCTTAATAACTGAAATTGCACTGTTCTATTCGGCCTTTAAAAGTGGTCGAAGTTGAATGTCAAACTTTTGGTGAATGATGAATGTGCCAGGCGAACATTCGATGTGTCGCTGATTATTATTATGATAACTATTTTGATATTGACGCTCAAATCATTTTCGCATTTGATAAATGGATTGCGTGCATGAATGAATGAAGAAACTAATGATAAGAATGAATAAAATGATTGGCTGATGGATGGATGGTCGTACACTTCCGAAAGAATGAAGAAGGAAGTTATTTTTTATAGAATGCAGAAATTGAAAGTATGACTCTGATAACATGCATTTATTGATAAGCTGCCTTTTCACATTGATGTATAGATTTGTTATTACATGTTCCCTCCTATTTTCATTTCTACATTCCATTTACCGCCGTTATTGAAATTGATTTGATGTCATATCATCGGCTTTATCAATTCTATCACTTTGCAATCATTATAAATTCAGATATCTTTGTTTCTGCTATTATTATTCTTATTTTATGATCATTATTACCACTATCAATTATTATTATTAAATGAGGTTTTTTCATCATTCCATCGTGCAAATCACAATCTCCATTCCTGTAAATAGTTTTTATCGCTTATTTGTACATATTCAAGTGTTCAAATGCTTTTTCTTCATTGAGCTGAGCAGTGTTTGAATTTGAAAAGGAATGCCAACACCATCGCCTGCAATCGTACGAACGCGCTGGGACAGGCATGACCCGCCATTGTAAATTGCTATTTTTTGTAAACCAGATGAAAACGCGAGGAAATTAAAGTTGTAAGGATCCAATTAAGTTGACCCACTGCGAAACAATTCAGAAAGTTTATTGAAGTATTAATATGGTTTTTCAGCAACTTCTATCGCCATCGATCACAGTTGCAAGTAAGTGCTGAATAAAGTTTTTTGGATGGATTGTTGAAAATGTGTATGGAGAAAGAAACGAGAAGTTGTTTGTAATAAAATTTATAGAGAGTAAATGTGTGGTGCCTTCTTTATATGAATAGAATATAGTTAATTAGATTGTGCTCTGTTTTCAAATGACTTCCTGATATCAATATATTGATATTTAGTAGTTTTTATTTTTCAGTTTAGAACGTGGATCCTCGGTTTAAAGCCATATGGAGAGGCAAATCTGTATCAGTCAACCTCAAAAATGGAGGAGTGCTGGGCTGGGCCCGGAGGTTATTTATTTTTGAAAATTTAAGAGAAGCAATCTCATTCTTTAATTTATTTTCAATTTATTTTATCCTGAACTAATCATAATCACACCGTAATGTAATGCGTGCTGTAGTCAATTCAATTTATTTTATCCTGAACTAATCATAATCACACCGTAATGTAATGCGTGCTGTAGTCAATTGTTATGATGTGTGGTCAAATTCTGTTCTGAAAATTAATATAGATACAATTTTGAGAGATGAATACAAAAACACAAAACCATCACATGCAAATGCGGGTGCGAGTACCTAACGAAGAAGACCTTCATGCAAAATACTATTTTATTTCCTATCAAAATCTATTCATCCACAGTGACGCAACGTAATGTAATGTAATAAATAAATGGATCTTGCTAATGATAATGTTTCGTTTAATTTTGGCAGCCCTTGTAAATATTACAGAAAACAAGCAGTATTCAATGTATGTATAAAGTACATATATAATAATAGGTACCTATATATTCATATACACATGCATTATATATTTTGGTATATAATATATATAGAAAATATAGAAAAGCCAAAAAATGATATGACGATTGTTGTGAATGTATGAGAACGCAATTATTTCTTGTTGCAGGTATGTTTGTACAAGTAACGCGACATTATACGCACGTACGCACGCAAGGTAATAGAGATGCACCGAATAGTGAATTTGGCCAAAGTCCGACTCTGCTCGGCCGAAGTAATACTAAAAATTCAAAATTAAAAAAAAAATTTTTTTTTTAATGAAAAACAAGTTATTGAAGAAAAAAGCGATAGGCGGTTCATCTTTAATCCAAGAATTCTTTATCGATATTCTATTGAACGTCTCGTTCAGATGCAAATGTTTAACGACAGCTGTGACGGCCAAAATTAAATTCCAGTTAATAATATTCAATAATTACTGTTCTGGAACCCAAAGATGTAATAAATTAAACGGAAATTGCACTATTTAGGCCTCGCCTCTCTAGTACGTACATACGCAGGCGTGCGCGCGAGCGATTCATTAAATATTATGTTCTAAAGAATACGAAAAATAAAAATGACGACAATACTAACACTAACACCACAATTACACGAAACTCAATATGCATGCACGCTACACTAAGATTAGGTTGTTATATCAGTAGACTAGGAATGAATGAGTGGATGGATGGATGAATGATGAATGGAAGGGTGAATTAATAAGTTAATAGACAAATGAGTGAACGAACGTTTTATTTTAACCCTTATCTATAATGAACATATATTACGTAGTTTGTACCTCGTACTCATCACAATCATCGTTTACAACCACACAACAAAAATTAATAACTCGCATGATGTCATCAACTGCAGCATAAAGATGCAAATGAGAATGAGTAAAACTGAAAATAAATTTACAAATTAATATAAAAAAAAATGAAAATCTTGGAGAGATACAGCATCAATGGAATGAAAAACGTTAAAAATTGTCGCCTGGCACCAGCTCGCTTAACTAAGATCACCCATTTAATGGTGAAATAATCTCGCCGACTGAAGCACGTCTATCATAAACTGCCACGTCATTGTTTAAGCACAACATGAGCATGCAGCAATTAAAATCAATCAAAATAATTTTTATTATTGCATTGACTATTTCATATCATTATGTCGAAATCATATTAAAATTGTAACAAAAAACAGCCAAAAATGTAAAGATTGTGTCATGATTGTATGGTCTGAAAGACTACAGAACAAACTTGCATAAATACATACATAGCATACATACAAACAAGCATATATCCATTCATAAATTCATACAGACGTACTTACATACATAAATATATCATTTCATATACATACATACCTACATGCGGAATAAACTAAATGATATGTAACATGTACCAAAAATGAAATATAAATACCAAATCCATTTGATGTATGAAACTAGGTGTGTATGTATGTATTTATTATTATATGTGTGTGTGTGTGTGTGTGTTTGTATGTTTGTATTGTACAAAACCAAGAACGAAGATTTTTCAATGTTAAGACTGTTCAAGTAATAGTGAAGAACGTAAAATTATATCCAAACACAAACAAATAAGAGAATGACTAAATGAAAGAGTGAATGAATAAATGAATGAATGAATGAATGAAAAAAATGTACAATGAAAATACTAGCAGTGTTAATATGGAATAATAAATAAATAATATATAAATTTAAAAAAAATTAAAAGCTATCCCTACAAAAATCACATTATCGTCGTCGTTGCCAGCATCCACACTCATATATATTTTTCGTCATTTGTAAGAAAAAAAGCTGGTGACCCGAAGCAGGGCTGATTGGGCCGCCATAACAGAAAATACAAAAAAGAAAATCAGACATATTCTGTTCGTGTAATCAAATTTAACTAAAAATACTTTCAAACCTAAGAAATATTTTTGAATACTAATTAATTAAGACCAGAGCTATAATAATTACAAAGATGAAAAATAATCGATAATTAATAAAGGAGCAATAAGTTTTTTTAAATTAGTTAAGGTGGATGACGATGAACATAAATATTCTCTCAGTTTAATATAAGCAACCCCTGACCCTAACCCTGCCGAAGACCAATAAGAATCATCGTACTATCATTGCTAAGAGTCTCAGGGCCACTCAAATCTGAGTTAGCTCAGGCAAATCCAGTAGGAATCAATGGACCATCATAGCGAGGAACCTCTCGGCCAATTGGTGGACGTCTGGATCAGAATCATCCCACAGTTTGTTGATTGGATCGAGCAGTTCGGCAGGATTCGACTTTATTTCAGGAAGAGAAGCTGGAAAATGTTATGATAACGATGATTATGATGATAACTATAAATCATTCAATCACTCATTCATTCGTCCACTCACTCACTCACTCACCAATCCTCCTAAAATTAGTGTGAAGTACTCTGCAGAGAGTTATCCGGACATTAACAATTGGATCGGCGTGCATTCGAAGCAGGGAGGTGAGCAACGAGGTGGGAATGAATAACTTCTGCAGGGTGTTCAGGTCGGGACAGGTTGATAGGAGGTGGTGGCAGACCGTTATGAAGCTGTGTGTGTGCGTGCGTGCGTGCGTGTGTGAGTGAGTGTCTGTTTGTGGGTTGTGGTGAATGAACGAGTGAAGAATGGACTGCAAAGTTTGACATACTGAATTAATCCTTAATCTATTAACAAATTAACGAATGATTGACTGAATAAGTGAACGATCGAACAAACAAACGAATGAATGAATACATCAGCGGCAAAAGAAGCAGAATACACCGTAAACAACAACCTCTGTCTATTTCTGTGGTTTGAATGATTGGCAAACTTCTGAATGATGTCCTCAACCATTCTCTGGTACAACAATCTAAAATGTCGTTGTTGTCGTTGTTGCTGTTGTTGATGAGATGTTGATGAATTGACATCAACGTTGTCCAGCAAGTTTTGCGATTGGCGATGGTCATTTAAATGATTGCTACCGAGCCGATGATTACCTGATGTCCCATCGCCACTGTGATCGTCAATTAGTTTTGTCGTCGTTCTTGCTGCTGTGACGTCAAATTTCATAGTAGAAACATCATGACAAGCAGTTATTGTGTTCGGCGTTGATGCTTCGTTTGAGGCATCTTCAACAACTTTGTCGACATGGTCTGACGATGGAATGACGTCCGAAGGTTCAACTAACTTTAAACCATCACCTCTGCATGGGACGGTCTCTCTTGTTGATGCACTTGTCGTCGGTGAGGTTGGTGCTGTTGTGGATGATGTTTCGAACGTTGTTTCTAATCCTAAAGAGGCTGGAGATGTCACTGGTGATGTGGTTGGTTGTGTGACCAACGTTTCTGATGTTGCAGTTGAGTTACTTCTAATGAACATCAGCAATATTATCTTGCTGATCTGTTGGATTTTGTTGTTGTTGTTGTTAAATGAAATAATTTATTATCAATCATTATAACTATCACTGTGCCACCACCGTCATCGTCAGCATCACGACGAACTGACCAATAGGATTGCAGCCTTCCTAACAAGAGCCACCTGGTCCGCCAATAGGATGTACACAAACTGCACAACAAGCGTGTACAACTCATCCTCATCGTCTTCGTCATCAACATCATTTTTGTTGTTGTTGCTGCTGCTGTTGCAGCCGCGACCGTCACTCATGATATCAAGGAATTTTTCCAGTTCCCTGATAGACCGCATGTATGTATATAATTAGGAAATCTTATATCATCACCAAGATTTTCATCATCATCCTCACCTGACGACGGCTTCTCTCATTCTCCAGTTCCTTCCATTGTTCTCCTCGCAAACAATTCGAGGCAGCTTCAACAAATACTTTCTTCTGTAATCTGCCGGAATCAGCTGATTGATTGATTGAACTATGAATGAACAAATGAATGGATGAGGAGAGGATAAAGGACCCAAGCAATCAGCGACAAAACAAACTAATGACCAACAGACCTTGACAAAATCGAAAAAATGTTCAATGACCCCGGCCTTGACCTCATCCACGTCGCAGCAGAAATCGTCGAAAACAGTCACGAGATCTCTCATGATGACGTCATCGCCGAGTATTTGGGCCATCTCGTGCAGGGAATGAGCCAGCGTTCGACGAACTTTCACCTAAATAAAATGATTTATCAATTTTGATTGGCTGGTCTATTTATTGGTTGAATGAGTAGTTAAATTCGATTGGCTGTTTGTTTGTTTTGTTGAGCGATTGAATGGTTAAATTTAGTTGGATGGTTTGTAGGTCTAATTACACACACACACACACACACACACACACACACAAACACACACACACACACACAAACACACACACACACACACAAACACACACACACACACACACACATGCAATAACGTAAAAGCAACTCGGCGTTTGGCAGAGCTGCGTTATAAAGAGGAAGACAAAACAGAATCATAAACATCCAACTCATTAACCGACCTGCGAGCTAGACAACATAGATATATAAACGTCCTTAAGGGCATACCAGTTGACCTTGGTCAACGTCAAGGTCACAGCAGGAAAGGAGAATGCGCAGTTAAGTTGGATTTCTGAATCGTAGAGCTGAGAGAGGACAGGATCGGACATGTCCACGAAGGCATCCAACAACTTCTTCGGTACGGGACTCTGAATAATTAAACAACATGATTCAACGAACGAACGAACGAACGAAATTTTTTGCTCCTCATAAATTAATGATTAGCTATAAGAAGGCCGGATGATCATAAAAATTTATAAAGAGATTTATCCAGCACGGTCGCCTTAACATAAATATGTAATAATTTTTTAGTTTTTAATAAAATAATTTAAGATTTCGTAAAATTGTCATAAATAATCCATGACAGGCGTGTTGTCGGCATCAAACAAACTCAATTGTCAGCAAAACACGTATCAGTTGTTAGTAGAGATTGTTTCCGGTTTTCATAATTGTATTTTATGAATTATTTAATAATAATTAGTAAACAAAAAATATAGAGTTAATAAAAATTCGTAGTCAGAGAGATGAAGAGAAAACTCAGATGAATTCAACATTAAGACGACAGTTTCCGATTTCATTGCAGGTTGTTGGTCCTTCATGATGAACGTGCGAGAACATGATGTTTGCCTTTGATTGGTTGGACATGAGATTGTTTTTTGTCATCGAGATAGCAATTTCTTTTTGAAATAATTTTGAAACGCACGTCGGCCACCTGCTGGTCAACTGCCCACAAACGAAAATCACATTGAGCTTTAAAAAGTTCAAATTTTGTCATATTGAATAACGGTGGACTGTGGCCATGAAGTTTAGATCCAGTTGCGGTGCTGGTCGTTCTCTGCATTAGAAGGTCCAGTGGCTTCGTAGCTGTACGGCGAGATGACGACCGACCAAACTGAGTTGCAGTACGTCGTCAAGAAACTGCAGAGAGAGTTGTACGGTAGGTAAGTTTAAATAGCTGCTCAATTTGGCTGGCCTATTTCTCGATTGATTGGCCCTGACTGCTCCATCTTGAAAGTCTCCATCTTGAAAGTTCATTTATATTTAACAAAAAATTACTTGGAAAAAAAAACACCACACACCATTTTAATGTCGCAAGTTTTTGGTTTCCTCTTTTCATTATTTGGTCCGCCCATCCCGCCGGTCCCCGATGACGTCACATAGACCATCGTCTGCCTGCTCCATCTGTTTCCACCGGCTTTCAACGTTCGACACGTGACCGGAGATAGCGGTCTCAAGGTCATTCCCTCGTTTGGCAAGGTCAAGTTGGATTTCTGAGAATTACGATTGGTGGATATGTGATTTGTGATTAAATGGAATGGTCGAGTCAAGACAACATCGTGTCAATAATGTCAAAAACTGCAGTCCCATCATTCAATAACCACACGCCCGCCCGTGAACAGCAACAAAGAGCAGCCAACCAACATTAAACTCATCGACAGTTTCAAGTTGGGGACCATCCCCACCGACAACCATCAGTTCATCTTCATCATCCTCATCATCCTCATCTTTCCCGCTAGCGGCAGATTCATCATCATTCAGGTTAACTCTTGTAGGTCGTGTTCGAATGCGATGGTGGGTTGTGCCAAAGTGGATGGCAGTTTCGTACGAGGGCGCGTCCGCTTCCTCCACGCTCGCTGCATCTAGCACCAACAAGATGGGCGCCGATCTTAAGAGGATCTTTTTGCCGCCGCTGCTGCTGCTGCCGCTGCTTCTGTTGACGCCCTCGATGGTGTCGTTGTTGATGTCGCTTCTCGGTGCAATGTTATCCAGTGTCATATTTTCTAAGCCTTCAACGTTCGATGATTCGATGTTGATGGTTTTGTTGTTGTCGCTGTACGTAGTTGTTGAGGTTACTTCTTCGTCAGTTGTTGTTGAGGTATCATTAGTTGTTTTTGTTGTTGGCGTTGTTTCAGCATTTGAATCACCGGCATGTACGTAGTTATAAAGAGATGCAGGTGGCGGTGGGTTTGTTGTTGTTGATTCAAGACGTGTTGCATCTACATTGCTGCTGCTGCTGCTAATGTCGGTCCGTTTGGTGCTGCTGTTGTTCTCTATTTGGCTCTGAAGCAGTTCACTGGCTGTGTTATCAATTTTAAACGAAGCATCGAAGTTGTCGTGGAGGATGTGCTCTACTGGAGGGTTGCAATTATCTGGGACGAAAATTTTATTTGCTGGAGAGTTATTTGATGACGATGACGTTGTTGTTAGCGATGGCGATGGGGGCGCTGATGACAGCGCCGAACTGTTACCTTCTACAACTTCGTGACCTTGAAAATGTTGAGCGACGATTGGAGATGTTACTGTGCATTGAGACGAAGTCGCTGGCTGCTTTGAAACACTCGTTGAATGCTGCTGCTGCTGCTGAAGGGAAGAACTTTCCTCTGCTAAATGTTGGATGGGTCGGTAAACATGGAAAGCCGAATGTCTAACCGAGACATCATCATCATCATCACCATCACCTCTATTATTATTATTATTATTATTAATGTTATTGTCATTATAATCATCATTACGGTTATCATTAAAACTATTATTGCTGCTGCTGATGGGGTGACCTAGCATGGCTGCAATGAAATCATTCAAGCCAAACTCGGTATCGTCACCACTTTGACCATTATTATAATTGTTGTTACTGTTGTTGTTGTTACTGTTGCTACTGTTGTTGTTGTTATTAGTGTAGCTGTCGTTTTCACTGCCACGTGAAGATGCGTTTATTGGGATTTGATCAGGTAAGTTGTCAGCCTTATTGCAATAAACCGACGATGATGACGATGACGACGATGATGATGATGATGAAGGTGTCACGGAGGTATTAGTAGCAGTAGTATTATCGTAAATATTACTGATTATTATATTATCATTTTGATTACTGCAGTCTTTATTATCATCATCATTATTGCTATTTTTATTATTGTTGTTATTATTATTATTATTATTATTACTTCTGACGTCATCGTCGTCATCATATTTGAAGCTTAGATTAACTTCCCCATTGACGGCATCGTCATTCAGTGAACTTAATGCATTGCACATCATCTGCTGCTGCTGCTCCTCACCACCTTTCTCATCTTCCTTATTATTATTATTGTTATTATTGTTGTTATTGTTGTTGTTGTTATAAGTGTTAGCACAAACATGCATAAAGCCATCATTCTCAACACTGATGATGTCAGTATGATCATCACCATCACCACCATCAACATCATTATCATCAACACCATCGTCGTCGTCGTCGTCGTCGTCGCTTTTAAAATATTTGCATCGTTTCACTATCGCATTGAAGGAACTGACTATTGTGGTTGTGGTTGTTGCTGCTGCTGCTGTTGCTGCTGCTGCTGACGATGATGACGTCATAATCAAAGAAGAAATATTAATAGGCGACGTTGATGAGTTTGTGGTGAATGTTGTCACCATGTTGGCCGTGTTCGTTGCAGATGTTGATGACAATGTTGTTGATGATGATGACACATCGACAAACTCATCGTGTTGGAAAGTAGAAATGAATTCTCCAATCACTTGGTATGCTGACAGACGCACCTGTTCATCACAAGTTGTCCTTCATGCATACGTTACCATCTTCATCATCGTCATCCTCACCATCTTCATCACCTTCGTTCCCACCATCATCATCATCAACAACATCAGCACCCACCCATCTCGATTGATCTTCCAGAAGTTTCATGAACAGATCCGCCATGACAGTCCATCTGACATTTTGATTGACAGCAGAGGCCACGCCTACAAACGAAGTAACACACGCTTTCCTCACACCCCACACGTTGTCGTCACAGAGAGAGATGAACTTGTCGAGCTGCGGGGAGATGTGGAGGTCGGTTGGAGAGGAGTGGAGAGATTGAAGAGTTATATTTGCAGAATGCATGACGGTAGTTATGAACGGATGAATTAATCAACCAACCGACCAAATAACCAACCGACCGACCAACCAACCGACCAACCAACCAACCGACCGACCAACCGACCAACCAACCAATCAACCAACCGACCAACCAACCGACCAACCAACCAACCGACCGACCAACCAGTGACGTCTCAACAACCTCTGCTCGCACCAGTTTGCACAGATCTCCAAATCCACTGGCACAGGCCTTTCGAACGTCAATTACAACATTGAATTATTATCACTGAACATTATTTTATAATATCGAATAATAGTAACAACAACAACAACAACAACAACAATAATAAACACAGACCCTCCTAACGAGGAAGGAAGGATCGCCGCACAAATGGATGAATAAAGGAAGCACACTGCATAAGATGTCCTCATTCATGTACCCTGCTAAGCCGATCAACAACTGTTTCCGTGAGTGAGAGATGGATGAATGAATGGTCATTCATTCATCTAACTCGCAAGTGGGCAAACTGCAATTCACCCATCCACTTACCCACCCATCCATCCATCCATCCATCTAAACGAACAAACTCACAAAAATTCCATCGGACCTCAATTCATCCTCATTGTCACAAGATGTCGTCTCCATGACAACAGATAACAACGTCTTCTCCACTAAACCTTGCATGTTTGTGCGCATGTGTTAGTGCGTGTGTGTGTGTGTGTGCGTGTTAAAAAAAGTTGGTTATCTCATTGTACCGAACCCTAAAGGGGAACCTTTGACATTAAGCATAAGTGAGGAAAATAGTGTACAAATCATTTGACAAAACGAATGGCTAATAAGAAAACCATACAATGATTAATTACGTGATGATATACGGTGCATTGATTGATTGATTGATTGATTGATTGATTGATTGATTGATTGATTAACTGACTGACTGATTGAAATGTAATTATTATTAAGTCAAACAACAATGAATGGCTAATGAACAACATCAACGAACTGTTAGGTATGGATTTAATCTTTAATAAATTGAACACTGATTCATAACATGCTCTTCTTACCTAATGAATGAATGAATGAATGAATGAATGAATGAATAAATGAATGAATGGTTGAACGAATGAGTGAATGAGTGAACGAACAAGCAAATGAATGATTGATCGACTGAATGAATGAACGAACGAACGAACGAAAAACACAACATCATAATAACAATAATCTACTTGTGAACTACTGTCAGACATAGATTTATAGATGACGTCATAGAAGTCGGAGGTAATAAACCGACCCAATTTCGACTGACCTGAAAAATGTGACCCAATTTCGTACAACTTCTCTGCAATCAGTATCTTCACTGAAATTGCTGTATTTACATTAGTAAACATACATTGTTGACTAATATTTGCCATCAATCCGTCTATTCATTTATTTATTTATTTGTCAATTCATTCATTTATTCATTCATTCATTAATTCATTCACTCATTTATTCACCCATTAATTCACTCATTAATTCATTCATTCATTCAGTATGCACGCTGAATGAAGCAAATTTGAAGAAAATTTCCCACATATAAAAACACAAGCCCACCACACCACAACACAAGACAACACAATGACACTTGACATCATTTGAATGAAACTAGTGAAACGTGATCATGAAATATTTGTGTTGTTTAATCAAATTTTCAACATTTCATTATTATTTTATGCTACTGCTATTATTTCATCATCCAGGTGGGTACCCTGATCTTTCTGGAGCATGTCAATGACAGCGAACAACTTCTTCACATCCTGTCTGCATAGGCTCTTCAAGTTTGACAAGATGAAATTTACTGCCATATGTCTGAAATAAGTTGATGAATAAATAATTTCACAATAAATAGTCAAATTAATTATTATTAACTAATTGATTAGATAATTGTCACAAAAAATGCATAAATGGTTTAATAAATCCACCTCTATTCAGGTTAACATTAAAGTTATAATTTAATTATCAAGGTAGAGCAAGTCTGCAAGTCTCTAATAAGAAACTGTAGCTTTATTTATTTATTCTATATCAAAAATAATTTAAGTTGAGTGCTGTGCAAACATCATCCTCCTCATTGACCATTTAAAAATAAATTTAATTATTTACTAGTTATACTTTTTATTTTTTAAAAAACTTTTTTAAATATTTAAAAATACCACTACCTTTGGTGCACTTGGGCATGTGCAGCATAAGCAAATAACTGATCTATGTCGTTTAATTTTTTAACTTCTTCAAAATTATCAAACAAATTGTCTTTCTTTGAAGCCATTTTGGTAATTTTCAATCAAACAAAACTAAAATTAATTTTATTTTATTTGCAAATAAAATTGCAATTCCAAAAACAATACTTGTAATTTTATCATCCTGTCATGACGCAAAATAAAAGTGACTAATAAAAATTGCAAAAAAATTGTTATTTATGCCATTTTACTTGAAAAGAAAATTTTCAAGCGAAAATTTGGAATTAATTGCAAATTTGAATCTCATCGAAAAACATGAGCGATAAAATATTTTATTATAAATCCATAGGCAAAACATCATTTTTTCATAACACGGACCAGGCTATTTGACATCCATGGAGTGCTGTTGGCCCATTCATCTATGTCGTCAATATAGTGAAATAAGCTGGTAGTTTTTTTAAAGATTAAAATACAACTATATATATATATATATATATACCTCATAACTAGAATAAAACTAGATATAAACCATGAATAATTAACAACATACGTTAGATTTATTACATTGACTCAAATTTTCTTTAGTCTGCGTATTTGCTAGCTATATAGCAGTCAATAAGTGGTGCTTAAAAGACAAATTGATGCAAAAATATATATATATATAAAGTGCTATTTATTTACCAAAAAACATCATTTAACATATCAAGTCTAAAAAATGCTTGAAAACTCGTTAAAAACATTCGAAATCTCGGTAAATCCCGAATCATATAAATAAAAAATACTCGGTAATTGATTACCGAAAAAACTGAGCATCGATTTTCTTGTTTCTGCTAATTTTGAATGTTGTTGAAATCCGTCGTTTTTTGCTGAATAATCGTCCGCTGCTGTCGTCGCTTGAAGAAATTTTCGTAAACCTCATCGGTCCTCTCACTAATCAAAATTAAATATGCCACTTCTAGCAGGTTGTAATTAGTTTTTCGCCAATCGCCCATTTATCGCTCATTCTACTAACCACTCATTTGTAATAAAAAATAATTTCCTTAACAATTGTTTATTAGATTTTATTTATTATAAAAATAAATTGTTAATAGTTAAGTAACGAGACTTTTTAATCATTCTTTTCATTGCTAATATATCTTTGATTCTGTTTCTTTAAATCATTTTCCTATAATTTGATTTGACTATTTTGTATTTGTTCTCATTTCTCATTGTCATTATATTATAAATATATTAATTTTATTTTATAATTTATTTTTTTATATATTTAATTTTTGTCAATTTGACACACTCCATTACATTTTTATTAATAGTTAACGTGAAATGGTGCAAAGAGAAGTTTGAGAATGTTGAATGCAACACAGACGAACCACCCCTGGTCTTCAAGGCACGCCTCTTCTCACTCTCTGGGGTCCAACCTGACAGACAAAAGATTATGATTAAGGGAGCTGTATTGAAGGTACAATTGTTATTAATTGCTATATGTAATGTTATATTTTAATTAATGTCATGTTGTTTTTATTATTTGTATAGTTTTTTTTAAATTTTTAAAAGTTAAATGTCTTTATAATAATCTTACTAGGATGATTCTTGGGACAATGTGAAGATAACCAATGTAAGTTTATTTCAAGGTTGTTGCTCTCATTTTGTTATTGTCCTTTAACAGCCAGCTAACCATTAGGAAAAACATAACATGCACTTTTTTAGAACGCTAACTTGTTGATGATTGGATCTGCAGAGGAGCTTCCAACTGCCCCTGGGCAGACAGTTGTCTTCATGGAAGATATGACTGATTCACAACTTGCTAAAGTGGTCTGTTCATTGTCTGTCTGGCTGTTGTCTGTCTGTTTGGCTGACTGGCTGTTGTCTGTCTGCTTGTACAAATGATTGATTGATTGGTAATTTATTTAGCTCGAAGTGCCATCGGGACTAACAAATCTTGGCAACACATGTTACATGAATGCCACACTACAGTGCTTGAGATCTGTGGCTGAACTCAAAGAAACCCTTAAGAAGTTAGTTGATAGATAGATTGATTGATTGATTGATTGATTGATTGATTGATAAGTTATTTTATTGAGTGTTTGATTGAATGATTTGAAAATAACAACAGCTTCCAATCGGGACCCAGTATGTTGCTTAACAATGTTGATAGTAGCATTATGATTACTTCTGGTTAGTTGGTTGCTTGGTGGCTCAATGAGTGAGCCGATGAATGAATTAATAAAAAATAAATCTACCAATCAGCAATGAAGGAATTGTTCAAGGTAATGGATCGAACGTCAACGAGCATTCCACCGATCCTTATGCTCAATGTTCTGCATACCTGCTACCCGCAGTTCGCTGAGAAGAATGATCACGGACAGTTTCAACAACAAGTTTGTTCTTCATTTTCTGCCTATTTTTTTCGAGTTCTGTTGTAACGACACTCAACTACCCATTCACTAACTTTCTAAACTATTTGACCACCACCTCTAAAGGATGCAAATGAATGCTGGGTTGAACTGATCAGATGTTTACAGAAGGCCCTGTCTCCAACCACCAACGCTACTACATCTACTTCTGCTACTGCTGCTGCTGCTGCTTCAGATAACAATGGATTCATAGATCAGTTCTTCTCTGGAGAATTTCAAACCACGTAAGATGAGGATGAGATGGTGAAAATGATGAAACGGAGTGTGATTGCATTGATTATGGTAATGATGTTATCACACTAACCATCACAATCATTATCAGGATGAAGTGCACAGAATCAACAGAAGAAGCAGAATCAAAGTCAACAGAAAAGTTTTATCAATTAAGTTGTTTCATTGAGAAAGGTGGTTCTCGTCGTTGTCCTCTTCTTTATTTATCGTTACTGATTTGATGAATGATAATATGAAAGATGATGATGATGATAATTCTTTTTAAAACCTTTGTCGTTTTCATCATTGTCTTCCATCCATCACTGACATTCCCACCATCACCGACAACATCATCATCATCATTAACAACAACAACAGAGGTGAAGTACATGCACACTGGCCTCAAATCAGTTAGTGGAAAGAAATATTTGTCCCTTGATAGTCATTTTGTAAATATCATTTTATAATTAACATTAAGACCAGGCTATTGTGCACGAAATGTTTTTAAAGTTGCTGCACCCTTTAAACCTGCTTATGTATGATTAATTGTACAATCATCATATGTGATTGGTTGTACAATCATGTATCATTTGTTGTACAAACATTCATTCAGGGCTTGGAGGGTGAGATCACAAAACATTCGCCCACACTAAACAGAGATGCTACTTACACTAAAACGGTCAGTCGGTTGGTTGGTTGGCTGGTTGGCTGGTTGATAATTGATCAATTCATTCATTCCTCGTTAATTCCACACACACACACACAAACAAACATACAAACGAACGACAGAGTAAATTGAGCAGACTGCCTTCTTATCTCTCCATACAAATGGTCAGGTTCTTTTATAAGGAGAAGAATGCCGTCAGTGCTAAGATCTTAAAGGTTGGTTGGTTGGTTCTTCACTTTTATTTATTGGCTAACTAATTTTTTAACTCGTTCGCGCATACATTCACTTATTGATTCATTCTCCCAAACAAATAGGACATCAAATTCCCCCTGGTTCTCGACGTTTTTGACCTCTGCACGTCTGATCTTCAGAAGAAACTTGTCCCTGTGAGGTTAAAGTTCAAAGAAGAGGAGGATAAGGCTGTTGAGAGGAAGAATAATGTTTGTTTGTTTGTTTGTGTTTCTGTACGTTCGTGTGTGAGTGAGTGCTTGTTTAAGAAGGTATTTAATCTGCGTTGTAACAATGAAACCCAATGATGAATAAATTATTTAACAAATACAATAATTCATTTTCTACCTTCAGGTAACATCAGTAACTGGTGTTGCTGCTAATAATTTGGAGGTCAAGGGTCAAAAGAAACCATTCTCGTTTGAAGATGGTGTGTGCGTGTGTGTGTGTGTGTCTGTGCGTGCGGGCTGGTGTTGTTCTTCTGTTGTTTGCTGATGTCTTCTTACAAATATTATTCAAATGAACTGGTTGACTGAACACTCACTGACTAACCACTTGAATCGCATGGCAGACCCGGGCTCCAACAATAGCGGCTACTACGAACTCCAAGCTGTCCTCACTCACAAAGGTCGTTCGAGTTCAAGTGGACATTATGTGGCGTGGGTTAGAGGGAAAAAATCAGGTCAGGTCAATTTTCTTCTGTGCTTGTGTTTGTATGCGTGTGTGTATTCCTGATTTCACTTACGTCTTTGATGATTAAGATTAATTGCTGTCACCGTACCTTTTAACTGTCGTTCCTATTGTTTCATTAGATCGAATTTTTATATAGGATTGTGATGATGTAAAATGAAGTATAATGAATGACACGCAGATGAATGGATGATGTTTGATGATGATAACGTCGTTGCTGTTACATCCGAAGATATCTTGAAGTTGTCTGGGGGAGGTTGGAATACTGCCTTCCATAATTTTTTATTCATAATTATTATCATTTTATTATTTTATCATAACAGTTTTATTAGATGTAACAGTCTTAAATGAATGTAACGGAATATAATACAATTATTTATTTACAACAATAACGATGATGTGATGACCACTTTTGTAAATTATACTGTTCAACAGTTTGAAAAATATTGATGCGAGTAAATCATACATTTAAATGATGGATGATTGACTGGCAGGTGACTGGCATTGTGCCTACGTGCTTCTATACGGACCAAGGATTCTCGAAATAACGGATGACCTTCAAACAACGACCTCGAAGGGGGGGGAGTCTGCGAAGAATGACGACCGCAAAATGGATATGTCATAATTCACATATTTATTAATCTGTCGATTAATTTTATTTGTTTATCATTTTTTTTTTTGAATTATCAATTTAGTGCTGTTTCAAAAAATTTATCATTAAACTTTATTATCATCGATCGTTAGCTTAATAAAGTTGAAATGTTATATTCAGAATGAAATTGAATTAATTTAAATAATCTAAGTCAGGTATTTATAATCTGATGTTGAAAGCTCGTCGCAAAATCATCGTATCCGCCGTACGTTAAAGTTCTTAAGAAATTTGCTGTTTATTAAAAAAAAACATATAGAAAATTTGAGAAGGTAAGGAGAGCCGCATGTCACGTACTTCGGACGCATCCATCGGGAAACAATTTTGGTGATTCCGACAATGGCGATTTTGAAGAAAATAACGCGATATATTTTTTGAATTCATCTTAAAACATTTAACAATCTAATAATATTTGCCAACTTCACTCATTTGTTCATTCGTTTATTGAATACTCCGTTAAGTTGACTCGTTACTTCAATTCGTTCGTTTGTTGATCGTCGCCAACGTTGTTTTTGCTACCCCTGATGTTCCTCCTCTGGTCGCAGTTTTGGTCTCCGATGACCTGGCTGTTAGAATTGCAGCAGATTGTAGTTGCGGCCGAGGTGAGTTTATTGTGGTCTATGGGTTGGCAGATAATGTGTTTGGGCAAGAATCTGTCCTGCATATGACCCCACGACAAAGATGTCAGGAGAGACGATTCTTGATAAGGGTGGCCGAAATTTGACGGAGCAGCCCCAGAAACTAACCAAATTTGTACAAGAGTGGATAGAATTAGGGTATGAACTGTTTTTTAGTTCAACAAGTGTACGTATAGGAGAATGAACTGAATGAAGAAGTAAAAAGAAGTCAACACAAATGTTCAAATGCATATTTTTTCTTTTATTTGTCTATAGAAAGAATGGTATGCATATGTGTGTATTATATATTAATCAAACTATACATGTTGTAATAATAAAACGAATAGGTAAATAGATTCATAGGCCCAGAACAACGAATCAATCAATCAATTAGCTTATAAAGCGCTATTTCCGCGATGTTCAACAGCGCTCCTCAATGAATTTTGAAAACAGATGGGTCTTGAGATCCGCTCTGAACTTCGCAAGTGATGGAGAAGTAGTCAGAGAAGTAGGTAGAGAGTTCCAGAGAAAAGGACCAGAAAAGGCAAAAGCAGATTTGGCAAAAGAGTGTTTAGCACGAGTTAAGAAAAAGCGAGAAGAAGAAAATGATCGTAAACCGGGGCGTTTAGGTTCAATTAATATATCTGATAAATACTTAGGAAATGAAGCGGAATGCAACAAACAATTTTGGCACCAATTAGCGAGATAATGGGTGCAACGTTTTGGTGACGAACAAGCACACAAGTTCACATTTTCATATCAAATAACTGACCGAACGTAAAAATTAGAAAATAAATTCACTCCAGAACTTACATGTGCAATGCACGGCTAATATTACATTGTTATGATTTAAACAACCGTTCGTTGAATTAGATTTATTTACAAGTTTGAGTTTGATTTAAAACAAATCGTAGAATGAAAATGATTCACTAATCCGCCATTCTGTTAGATGCATAGGTATACAGCGTCCAACAAAATGTTTTCTACCATCATATAATCTAACGGGAAGATGATCAGCTCACATGTAGCGAGTGTTTAGCAGGTAAACTTCGTAGCAACATTTTTCGTCCTTTCCTGGCGGGAAAAAGGGCGAGAAAGCCACGCAGCAACTGTATTTGTGGTACGAGTGGTCGACGACGTAGCCGGCTCGCTGCAGATTGTCGAACAAATTAATCATGTACGTCAGATCTTCCTTACTCACTGTGTCCGGGTTTCTTTTGAGCGAATGAACTTCTAATATGATTTGCTTGACGTCGATGAGGTCCTTGAGGACATCTTCCAAGAGGAACCATTCGGCACCTTCCGCGTCGCATTTCATCACGTCGATCGTTCGCTTCATTTGTTCATGTTCGTCACCGATTGTTGTCGGTTATCATTTTGTTTTTTCAAAATTATAATGAGTGATATAATTCACTGTGAATAACAATAGTGTGGTGATATGATATATTAATTAATAGATGTTTTTTTGATAAATATGGTCTTAATTTTGAGCAATGAGATAGTTTATTTATCGCTGATAACTAAATTATTAAAAATATTTAACAAATCATCCACTTAATATTTAAACACAAATTTGAAAATTGAGCTAAACAAAAATTGAACTATCGAAAATGCTGCTAACGTCTTGAAGTTGCAGGCTTGAAAGAATGGTTTTGATGTTTTGCATTTTCCACTTCTTCTCGTTGACTTCATTGAGCCTGCCAAGACCGAGGTTGTGGAATTGTATAAGAGCTGAATGCATGTGGTCACTCTTGTTCAAACTGCGTAAAAATATTTGCAGTACCTACTGATGAATTTGTTCATATTCACTTGGTGACATATCTCGGTGAGATGTGGCGAGATAGTCTCCTCGTGTTTTATCACATCTCGCAACAATAAAAACGTTGAACCTTGGATCGAAGGCATGCACGTAGCAACCGCGCTCACTCAGCGCTTCATCGAACGACCATTCGTTGTTGATCCTGCAACATCAAATTAGCAGCAAAACGTGGTGTGCTGATTAAATGAAAATAATTTACATGCAAAATTTTAAAATGAAGTGCGGAAACCCGAAAGATAAGACAATGCATCGGTTGTGGCTGGGTGTGAAGTTGGCGGAGAAGCAAACATCGTAACCACCGTCAGCCGTCGTGCGTCCGTGCTTGGTGTGGTTGCTGCAGTGTTTCTTGCCCGACGTCATCATGCTAGCAATAAACAAGCATTAAAATGTACCAGAACGAATTTATTGAAGATGAAACAACACTGTCAAAACTACACTACAATAACAATATCAAAATGTCGTCATAACCAACCAACCGAAAGAAAATAAGTTTGAGTTGTTGAATGGAGTAGGAAGAGAGGTTGCCAGCAGGCCTCGTGTCGAAATCTCCCATCACACCCACATCTCCCTGAAATGATTTCAAACGACGAAGCATCAAGTAACGAATCATTTATAATTCTCAAGAACTACGGATGGGTTCTAATTTGAATAAGTCTGTAAAGTAAAGGAATATGAAATTGAAATTGGACGAACATTCGCACTGTATAGATTGTACCAGATGAGATACACTGAGCAGACTGTGAGGGTGGCGATGAAAAAACGTTTGAAATAATTTCTTGACGTCATCGGTGCCATTATGAAGGATGGCTATCCAAGTAATTTCTTATTTTTTGTTATGATTATCGCTTGAAAAATTGAATTCAACTTGTTATTCAGTTATAACAACAACAGATAGATTGTTCGTAAACAATCGCTTGAATAACTTTTAAAAAATATCCCTGCTAGCAAATTCCATTTCGTTAAAAGTTTCAAAACCTTTGAAAACTTAATAAAACTTCTTTTTAATTGTTAAGCTAACGATGAAATGATGTGGACAACTAAGAAGGGAAGGAGGAATTACGTATGCATTTGTGAACTGTACAGTTTTTTGTATATACTATTGTGCACGTGTGCATATATATTGTATATATTGGAGCGCAAGTGTACAACAGAAGAACGTTTTACGTGTATGATAAAGAAAACATCCCATTTTTGTTATAGCTGTTATCATCGTCAGATATAATGATCATTCTGTTACATAACATAATACAAACCGAAAAAATAGGGTACTGAATGTTTATATAAGAGATGCTTGAGCGCGCGTTCACTCTTATGGTACGTACACATCGTAGTATGGTATGTACGATTGTAGAAGCAAGTGTGCATCGACGGAAACTCTGTGTACAGCGGAATGGCAACACTGTACACACCGAAGGAGAAGAGAGATGGAAAGAGAGAAGAAAATGAAGAAAGGGAGAGAGGAAGAGAGAGAGAGAGAGAGAAATAAAGAGAATTGAAATAACTGAATCAATCAATCGATCAAACAATCAATCAATCGATTGATTGATTGATTGATTGATTGATTGATTGATTGATTGATTGATTGATTGATTGATTGATTGATTGATTGATTGATTGATTGATTGATTGATTGATTGATTGATTGATTGATTGATTGATTGATTGATTGATTGATTGATTGATTGATTGATTGATTGATTGATTGATTGATTGATTGATTGATTGATTGATTGATTGATTGATTGATTGATTGATTGATTGATTGATTGATTGATTGATTGATTGATTGATTGATTGATTGATTGAATTAACTTATTTTTATAATTTTTATATATAACTTATTTTTATTATTTTATATATAACTTATTTTTATTATTTTTATAATTAACTGAATTAACTTTTTTAATTAGTCAGGTCATCGATATCGCAATGAAATCAAATTGAGAATTTTTTAAATTTTTGAAAAAAGTATTTTATTCATTTTATGATATTACTTTGTTCAATAAGATACTGTTTGATACATATAGTTAGATATATAGGTTTGATACATACAACCAGTTTTCATTTAGTTTCCTTCTTAAATCTACTTTTAAAATTTTCAATTAATTAAAAGTGAAATAACGACTTAAGATTGGATCGAGTTTGGCTCTGAACAACGATTTCAAAATTGAGATTAGTTTACTCTAATTATGTATTAAAAAATTTACTCTGGGATTTCAATCCGACTTTGATATTTTATTTGCTTTCTTTTCGTTGTTATAGATATAGAATATAGATAGCAATAGCAACTGTCCAGCTGACAGAAGTTGAGGTTAGGTTAGTAAGTTAGTTGTATTTTTTACTTTTTTTTTAGTTTAGAAACTTCTAGTCGTTATTGGGGTCTACACTCTGCAGACGTTTGGTTGTGATTTTTTGGGTGATTGGTGTTTAATTTAAATTTTAAAGATGAGATGGTTAATCCTCAATTTACTTTTTTATTTAAATGATAAATTATTAAAATAAATGATCAGACTAGACACTGAACAATGAACCTCAATTTTTCAATTTATTGTCAAGTAATTTTGAAAAATATTAAAAATTTACTATTTAGCCATGAAACTTTCAATTCCAATTATTTCATAACCATAATAGGGACCTAACGTCTTAGGGGCCAAGTGTTTTGAGTTTATTATTGCTTACTAAATGATTGAATAATTTATCATAAAAGAGTAAAAACATTTTGCTGTGTCAGACAACAGAGAGACAGGACAAACAAGCAAACCGCTATGAAGTTTCCTCCTCTGACAGAGATGGAGCCTTTGCCTCCAGTACCCTCTTGTGAGGAAGATCTCGAAGATGTGGAAGACTTTGATGAAGAAAATCAAACTGGGTTTGTCGATTGTTCTATTGATTGATTGGCCAGTTAACTAGTTTTTGTCAATTCTTATCTATAAATTAATTAATTGTACAAATATTGAAAGATATCATGTTGTTTAACAAATTTTATTTCAGACTCTTCCTTACCGTTGTTATCATTTTCTCTTTATTTAGATTATTTTGAGTCATTAGCAGTCAATCAAAAATGCGTCAAATGATTCTGATTTGAAAGTTTTAATCTAACAGAAATGTTTTTTATTAATAGAAAAATTTTCATTTTAACAGATTTAATTTTCATCTCGGACTTCCATCTTTTGGCCAGTTTAGGTTCCTGATTTTTATAAGTTAATGGTTTAAAACTTCATTTAATTCAAATTAAAGTTGAAACAAATTGGTAATCAGAAGCTCTTTTTAGCCTTGCAAACTTAACATGTTTTGAAAGTCAAACATTTGAAAGGAGAGTTCGTTTAAGGGTGAATGTTGATCTTGCTATATAAAATTTCAATCAATTACTTTTACAAATTTTAAAGTTCCATTAATCTGAATGGCCCTAAATGAAACTCTTCAATATGAAATCTAAATTAGCTATCACCTCCAATCAAACACATTCACAACTGGTGATACAAACCATACTATACATTCACAACTTTTCAATGTTCCCTTCAAAGATGCATTCTTCGCCGAGCCAGGGTTGATCCAATCGAAACAAACACTAGGTTCTTGTGTTCAAACAGTAAATTTAATTTATTTCGTGATGTTTCTTTCTTCAATGCTACTGTTATCATGTCTCAAGTTGTTTTATAATAGTAATATAAAATTTATAGTTTAGAAATAAGTTTCTGATTGTTTCTGGTTTGATTTTTATCAGCTGATCAAGTTATTTTTGTGGTTAAATAAAAATCCTCTAATTATTTAGTTAATGCCATTTTCATTGTTGCTATTGTCAGTAGCCTAATAAAGTTCGTTTCAAGTTATTTTCTGGGTGTCGGTTGGTTCTTTTGAAACCAAATGGTGCGGAATACATGCTAAGTTTTCAATGTTTGTTTGTTTGTTTGGCTGTTTGTTTGTTTGGTTGTTTGTTTGTTGTTGCTGCTGCTGCTGCTGTTGAAGGCTTCGTTAACATTTAGTTTTCACTTCAAATTTTTTGTGAGCAGTTTTTGATTGCAAAATTGTATCTAAATCTAACTGTATCACTGTTACTTATTGTATCATTGTACCTAATTGTATCATTTTAATATCTTGTTGATATCAATCATTTAAGTTTGAATCTCTTGCTATTCGTTGGCCAAAATAATTATTTATAGATTATTTTTTAAAAAACCGATAGTTCTTCGCTTGTTGGTTATATTTCAATTTCCGTGGAAAGGAATTTTGAACCGGCTCCTTGTTTTGGGGGCTGCCATTTTTTAAAAACTTCATTCATTCATTTATTCATCCAGTTATTCATTCATTCATTCAATAGCATATATTCATCCATTCATTCTGTTAGTTCACTTGGATGATATTAATTGTGTGTTATTTCTTAGAAATTTCAGGGAGTGAATGAATGAACCAGTGAATGAATGAATGATCTAGAGAATGAATGAAGGAGCAAATAAATGAATGAACGGATAAATGGCCAAACGAACGAATGAACGGTTGCTCAACCAACCAATCACGACACAGCACCAGAGACTCCAAACATCAAATCGAAGTAGCACCGAACCAAGATGGAGCCATTGAGCCGAAGAAGGAAGATGGTGACGACGACGATGTTGGTGACCTCGATAGTGATTTCGGGAACATGGTTGCTGACATTGAAGGCGATAATGTCTTAGATTTCCAGGTGGCTAAGATGATGATGATGTGGTTGTTGTTAGTTATAATCATAATTAATCGTAATTAATCATAATTTCGCCATGAGCCGCCGCCAATGGATCTCTCAATAGGAACGATGGCCACTCCGAAGAAGAGAGGGAAGCAGTCGAAGGCAGGGAGGGACGGGAAGAAGAAGAAGAAGATGGCCGGTGATGAGGATGTTGAGGAGGAGGAGGAAGAAGGGGGAAGGAAGAAGGAAAAGGAAGGTACAGACAATATTAGCGGGACAGAGATACCAGAGACATCAAGGTTTCATCATTGATAGATTGATTGATAGATAGATAGATTCATTGATAGATAGATAGATTGATTGATTGATTGATTGATTGATTGATTGATTGATTGATTGATTGATTGATTGATTGATTGATTGATTGATTGATTGATTGATTGATTGATTGATTGATTGATTGATTGATTGATTGATTGATTGATTGATTGATTGATTGATTGATTGATTGATTGATTGATTGATTGATTGATTGATTGATTGTAATCACTGATAATTATTATAACGATTATTATTATTATAATAAAGATTGTTGATAAAGCGCTCGTTAAAAAATGTTCTCACACACACTCCAAAAAAATGTAATGCCAAATTGTGCAAAAATTACATAATAGAACAAAAACGAAATAAAAATTTGTTAATGTTTTTGAATGTGAGGCGGTCGTGTCTTTAGCTCGCCATGCAAAAGTGAGAATAATTATGATTTTTATCATTAATATTTATGGTAGCGAGTATTATTGTAATTTTCTTCAGATTCCACTTTTTGAGTCGAGCGGAAGAATTGGCGAAGAGGATTTGGGCGGCTGGGTGGATGGTGGTGCACCACAAACACCTGCCCAAGTGGCTCAAGGACAATGATTTCCTCATAAAGGTGACCCTTCCTCAAGTCACGCGGTCGTTTAGCTGCTGATGATGGTGATCGTCATTCATCGTAGTTGTCATTCATTACGTCGTTCATCATTTCATCATTAGCATTGTTTTGTGGTGAGGAAATTTTAAAGAATCTGTGTCTTCTTAAGTCCAAGAAATAAATTTAATGTAATTAAAAGATAATGTAAGTGCTGATTTGATGATGATAATTATGAAATGATGAAAGTTTGAAAAGTACTTTTGCACTACCTCTCTATCTCATCTCACTCCTCTCACTCATTCGATGTTCTACGACAGGGACACCGAGCTCCCATGCACTCCTACTGGAGGTGCTTCAAATCCATCTTTAGAGTTCACACGGAAACTGGCAACATCTGGACTCACTTGCTAGGTAGCAGGATCGCTCTTATTGATACCGGCAATACGTAACAACTTTACATTCCGCGAAATACGTTCGGAAATCTTTCAATTAAAATTTCACTATTCGTAAAAATAAAATAATATATCAAAGACGAGTGTGGGCCCAAATTAGGGCCCCTCAAAACCGCGGGTTCTAGACATTTGTCTATTTGTTAATAGGACGCTGGTTTTATTGGTGTCGGCGATGCAATTTTTAAAATTGTTAACAGGATAGGTAGGTATGTTTGTTTGTTTGTTTATTTGTTTGTTTGCTTGTTATCAGTGTTTACTGGAATGATGTTGTTGAAGCCTTATGAAATGTAAGAAGGGCAGCAGTCATGTTCATGCGATTGACGCCAATTAGGTTTCATTGCGTTCATGTCGGTAGCCATCTACTTTGTCACGAGACCCTCCACTGAGATTCAGCTGCAAGAGAAGGCAGTTTTCTCTGCATTCTTCTTCGGGGCCAACACCTGCCTCTTCTTCTCATGGATGTTTCACACTGTCTACTGCCATTCTGAACAAGTTGGCAAGTTCTTCAATAAGTTAGTTTTTATTTTGTTTTGTTTTTTTGCTGTGTAGTTCTTCTTATAAATGCCTCGCACTAACAACTTCTGTTAATCTTCTTACGGATGCATGAAACTAACAACGAACCTGAAAACAGGCTTGACTACTGTGGAATATCTATGTTAACGATGGGTTCTTTTGTTCCATGGTTGTACTACAGCTTCTACTGCGCCCCCTTGCCGAGGACCATCTACATGGTGGCCATATTCGTTCTCGGGACCACTTGCATCGTCGTCTCCATGTGGGACAAGTTCGCAACTGCAAAGTTCAGACCTGTTCGTGCTGGTCGGTTGCCACGGTCGCATAACTGTTGAGTGATTGATTGTTCCTTGGCTGCTCACTTATTGCTTCATTGTTGTTTTGTTATAGTTACTAGGATATGAAACAAAATATCATTCGATTATCACATCGTCATCATCTTCATCACAACCAGGAGTTTTTATAGCGCTTGGATTAAGCGGCGTCATTCCTGCAATGCATTTTGTGATCAAGTACGGACTTTGGGAAGGAGTCTATAATGCTGCTCTGGGATGGTCTGTTTGTCTGTCTGTTTGCCTATATCTTTGTCTGTCTGCCTGTCTGTTTGACAGTTTCAAATAAGACCACACAACACAACTTGACAGGTTGGTTTTGATGGCCTTCTTGTACATTGGCGGAGCTGTCATCTACGCCGTTCGCATACCTGAGAGGTTTTGGCCCGGTCGCTTTGATATTTGGGTGAGGAGTCGTCGTTTGTAGCTGTGGTTGTTGTCCTGTGCTTGTGCTGATTTTCATCATCGCCACTGTGCACACCTTTTTAACAATGCAATCAAAACTCGAACGCAGTGCCAGAGCCACCAGATCTTCCACCTGTTTGTCGTCGCAGCAGCGTTCATCCACTACCATGGCATCACACAGGCCGCACAGAACAGACTTTCGAATGGGGACTGTCTGCCTGAAGATTAATTTATTCATTAATTAATTCATTTATTCATTCATCCATTTATTCATTCATGTCGATAATATTTTATGATATGAATTAGAACAAAAATTGTGATTAAATAAAAACTGTTCATATCTTAAAGGCGTTTAAATGTTTAATATTTACGATAGTTTGTCGATTATATACGCACATGTATATGTATGTTTGCTTACATATGTGTGATGTATCATGTGTATATATATATATAAATATATATGTGTGTGTGTGTGGGTATTAAATGAACAGCTCGTTATGATTGTGCATGGATAAATTTTTTTATTTCTTGTTGAGAGTGACTTGCTGTTAAAAAATGATATCAAATCAGGAAACGCGGAGCACCTCTTTTGTTTATTTCAAATTCTTCTACGAACGATTCACTCCCTGCGATGAATGAAATTTACAACGTTACACGAGTTCACTGGCTTCATTTTTAATTTTTTTTTATAAAAATTGAAATGTTGGCAATAATACGTGTATGTCTACTGTACACACACGCACACACATGTTTTTGTATGACCTCCAAGAAGGAACGATAATAATTAACCGTTGGATGAATGTCATAGAAGTTTTGAATAATACCAGCACACATATATTTATTACATTTCTAAACCACAACAACGACGACGACGATGATGATGGTGTTAAAGAAGTTTGTTTAGCGGGTAGTGTTGTTGTGCGTAGAAGCAGCAGCAGTTTTCTTACATGCAAGCGTTTGCTCATCCATTCACACTCACTCACTCACGTTGGTGATGTAAACAAGATGAAGGTTGTTGTTCTTATTAAATAATTCAGATATATTTGTGTTAGCGGAACGAACGAAACATCGTAATAATGGAAACATTTAAAAATCTGCAAGTCAATAATTTCATTTGTCTTGATGCTCGTACGGACTGCTTCATATTCATTTACTGTTTTGGGAAGGGAGCATTAATATTTATTTTCTGCTGTAGTCTCATATAATGTAATGTGATGATGGTGCGGTACAATGGTTGTTTATATCTGAATGTTTCATGATTATGTTCTTATGAAAATGAATTCTCATAATGCAACAGCATGGCGGACATTTGAACGCCTCCTCAAGATTAATTATTCATTGAAATAATTTTTTCGAGTTTAACGAATATAATATTTATTGAATTTCGCTGGTAATAATAATAAAAAATTGGAAGTATAGAAATTTTTTTTAGGATTGAGCTATAAAAGAGTAAATCTTACTTTCATCGCGAATATTTTATAAATTTCTTTTATTAATGTTAACACCGACACTGGCGTGTGAAGTTTTTTTGACAGGTCGGATTGGGAGGAATTAAATATTGGCTAGGAGTTTAGGATTGAGTTTACAAGATAACAACACCATCGCTATTGATCATGCTAGTGGATCAGAACCATCAAATGTAGTTGGCGAGAAGAAATAATTGCTCGCTCCTACATAATCGCTCCATGCCAGTGCAATCAACAAGAGAAAATTTTTTTATACACATCAACAACAACAGCATCATCAACAACAACAACATCATCCTCATCAACTAACCATGCCTCGCACAGAAACTATAGCTTCCTTAAGAAGCAAGTTAAACTCAATAGGAACGAACATGAATTTGTTGGAGGCCGCAAAATCCAACAGCAGTTCCATCTTATCATCAGCAAACAACAACAGTAGCATCGCTCTTCCGGCAAAACACAACATTTCATCAACAATCAGTAAGGAAAACCATCAACCTTCAACAATATCGTCAGCTGCAGCACCACCATCATCAACAACAACAACAACAACTAAATATATTTCCGTAGCTGTACCAACGGTCTCAATATCTATTGCATCCCCTGTAGAGGAAAACAACAACAATTTATTCAACAACGCAACTAAAACAACAGCCCCAAACCAACAACCAACCAGGGTAGCAATGAGAAGTAGCTTCATGAGCCTCAAACAGAATTTAAAAAATATTTCGCCTTATCGCATCGTCGATGAAAAAATTGAGAACAAAAGCAACATCGCAATGAACAACGACAAAGAAAACATCAACACCGACCAGAACAACAACATCAGCAATGCAAACAACAAACATCCAGTGCAAACAACAACAACAACCACAACAACATGCCTTGCAAAGAGCAATAGTTTCAACATCCCAAACTGCAACAACATCAACAACAACAATGAGTCACCATCATCGATATCGTCAGCTTCACTTGCTGCCGACGCAACGGCGACAACATCTCTACACCAACAACTGCAAACGCTGGTCGGAGGGTCGCTACCCAACGTTTCATCTGACAGTTCACCAAACCACAGCAGCAACAACCACATCGCCAAGTGTGTCAGCCATTTAAGCGTCAACCTGCTTCCAGGTCAGCCTGCTGATGCACACCTGATGAAAAGATCGGCTGCCGTTTCGCCGCAGATGCTTCAAACAACATCTTCCACCAGCATTGTTGCCACTACTTCTGTTGCTGCTCCAATTGTCTCAACAATAACAACAACAACAACATTGGCAACTGACGATAATAATAATGTAACAGTTCTCGGTGGCACTTGCAAAACTTCAACCGCCGACCAAACATCTCTCCGATCCTTCCAAATACCTTCTTTTGCTGAGCTCGTAAGTTTATGGCCATGTTTTCTGTTCGTTGATTGGTTTGTCGGCTGTTTAATAAAATAAAAATCGCGATTGTTTGATAGGCCAGTCCACTACTGACTATTTTTTATCGTCTGGCTGGCCGATTGAATAGGGTTATGATCAGTTAGAACGTCACTCGGTGCATGAATGCCGCCCACATAAATAACATCCCTGACCCAATCCCACCTAACATCTCACCCACAATTTCCATCCCAGCAGGCCAAAAACAACGATCTCAGTAACCACAGCAGCAGCAGCAGCAATCACGTGATCAAGGACGATAGCGAAGGCCACCTGATATACAAACTGAAGGATGTTCTGATGGATAGATGTTAGTTATCTCAAATATCATGAACATCATCACCACCACCACCATCATCATCACCACCACCATTTCTTTCGTATGGAGAAATTTTTTATTTTAATACATTGAATTATTCCTTTACATCTTATTAGGCTGATAGAGACGCAATGCTAACTTTAATACGCCATAATTGACTCTTGTTCTAGGTACATTAAAGGAAATGAAAGCCATCGCAATCTACGCTCATTTCTTGCTTCCACATTATTCCGCAATATTTCCAGTTGCATCTGCCGCATTATACCGCAGTTTAAAATCATGAGGCCAAATAACTCTAAAATTCCCCCTTTAAAATATTTTTAAACATCGCTTAAAAACAAACACTGTAAAATGTTTAACTAAATATTCAATATAAAGTAAATAATTGAATATATAACACTTACAATGATTTATAATTATCATTACATCAGATGAAATTAATTTAGAAACTTTGTGTCGCAAAATTATGTAACACAATACCAAAATTATTTTCGCACCCGTCTAACATTTAACATTACATGCCGTTAATATAAATATTCGCAGTCGAAATTATAAGCACCCTTGGTGAAGGAACATTTGGGAAGGTGGTTGAGTGCAAAGATAGAAGCAGGTTAGTCAGTCTACTAGTTAGTTATCTCTCTTTGTTTATTCGTCAGGGGTGGCCAAATTGCGACTCTAGAGTGACACGCGGCGGTCTTCAGAGATTTATTTGTGGCTCTCTCTTTTTATCTCATGTGTTGTTTTTTTTTTTTGCAACAAATTATTATGGTTCCGTATATGTCCCAGATGTGAAAGAAAAAGTGCCACATTGTAACAACTTTCATTTCCACTCAAGTTAAGAATGATAAGACTAACTGTAACCTTTTTTAATGCATAATTAATTGCGGTCGTGGGAAAAATTTCACTTATTGTAAAATGGTTCGGACAATCGAGGAGCTTGGCCACTCCTGTTTTATGCTGGCCGACCAACCTAACCCTACCGACCGACCGACCAATGCAGTGGCGACAGAGTAGCCCTGAAGATCATAAAGAACGTGGACAAGTATAGGGAAGCAGCGAAACTTGAAATCAATGTCCTCAAGAAGATTGCCGAGAAGGACCCGCTCGCTGAGTTGTTCGTCTGATTGATGCATTTCTTTTCTATTCGTTATATATTGGTTTCACTTATATATTTGTCTTATCAATATATTTGTTTAATTCAATGAATTACGTCATCAACCTAACAACCAACAGTTCTTGTGTACGCTTGCTGTCACATTTCGACTTCTGCGGCCACATCTGCCTCACTTTCAGCCTGCTCGGATTATCTGTTTTTGACTTTCTCGTTAGTGTACTATTCATTCATTCTTATATATATATTCTATTTACGGAGAATTTTAAACGATTTAAAACGAACGAACAACGAGAGTAGAAGGAGAACAGCTACCAGGCCTACCCAATGGAGCAGGTTCGACACATCTCATACCAGCTCGTCAGATCCGTCAAATGTGAGGAGATAAGATGAAGATGGTGATAAAATTTTATTCTGATGTTAAACTAACATTGTTGCCTTCAGTTCTGCACGACAATCATCTGACGCACACGGATTTGAAGCCGGAGAACATACTGTTCGTCAACTCGGACTTTACGACGTCCACCAATCCAAAGAAGGTGAACAAGTGGACACCTTTTACATTAGAACCTGCTTGTGATAATATGATGACGCTGCATAGTATCATATCATGCACCGTGCTATATATATCATCCTCGTGTTAAGACGTGTGGAGCATGTCTTTCACGCATTGCTCACCATTTTATTACTGTGGTTCATTTATTCATTGGTACATATTCTCTATAGAGTTCGTAATATTTGTTAAGCCGACATAGGATTGAAGGCTGGACGATTGATTGATCGTTAAGTAAGTCATCACCGCATACATGATGCACATGTTATAGGAACCTGCATAACGCTGCAATCACTCCAACTAACCAATGAACATATATTTATATTTCAACTTTTCATTTGCAGAAGAAACCAATAAAAACGGTGAAAAATTCTGAAATAAGGTTTGAAATTTAAAGCCTTGTCTGAACGAATTAATTCTTTATTCATATAAATTAATTTATTATTTGTATTGACTGATATCAACAACGAACGTCTTGCAAGGTTGATAGATTTTGGCTCGGCGACATTCGACGACGAGCACCATAGTACAGTTGTGTCGACCAGGCACTACAGAGCGCCTGAAGTCATCCTCGGTTTGTCATTCGCTCCCTTTCCTTTCATTTCAATTCAATATCCATCCTATAAATAAACTTTTTAAAACATTTATAATGGTTTGTTTAAGGAATCTACCTAGGAACTGGTCATCAAATTAAAACCAACATGCCCAACTATGTTTCTTATGAAATATTCCATAATTTATTTTGGTATGATATTTTAAATTTATAAAATAATTCTGAAGAGATCGGTTGGAACCAGGCATGTGATGTTTGGAGCATGGGCTGCATCATTTTTGAACTTTATACTGGCTTCACGCTCTTTCAGGTATTTTAATGTTTGAAGTCTCGTCTGCATTGTTCTGTTCTGTTCATATTCGTTTCCGTAGTGTGTATAGTTCAATTTTCAATTCAAAAATTTATCATCTGTTGTTCGAAGACTTAAAAACGTCACCGCAAACGTACATACATACATGCATGCTTGCAGACCCATGACAATCGTGAACATCTGGCCATGATGGAAAGGGTCCTCGGTTCAATTCCTTACAGAATCGCTAAAAAAACAAAGTATTCATTCGTTCGTTCATTTGTTCATGCATTCATTCATTCATTAAATACGGACTCCTGAGATAGTGTATTTATCTAACAAAAATTAAATATTATTTCCTCAAAGGACTGGTTATTTTTGGCACGGTCGCCTTGATTGGAACTATCACAGTGTAGCTGGAAAGTTCGTTCGTGAGATGTGTCAACCGCTCTATGTTCGTTTGTTCGTTCAATTGTCCGTTCGTTTGTTTGTTCGTTTGTTTGTTCGTTTGTTTGTTCGTTTGTTCACTTCTCCGTTCGTTCGTTTTTCATATCGTTCTGCCGCATGTTTCAAATGTTAATTAAAAAAGCGCTCATTTAACTCTATTTCACGAGCGCTTCAATCATATTTAATCACATTAATTTCACAGTTCAACAAACCCAATAGTTATAATTATTATTAGAAAATAAAATAAAACGGCTTTGCAATGAAAGAAACTTAACTTAAAGAGCGCATATGAAAGTAAACATTGATGAATTGACGAAACTCCAGCGCTACATGGCGTGTGACCAGTTGGAGCACCGCCAGCTGTTTGATCTGATCGAGAAGATGCTAGAGTACGACCCGAACGATCGAGTCACTCTCACCGACGCCATCAAACACCCCTTCTTCGACACACTCCCTCCCCTTCAAACTTCCTCCACACCCGCGCCCCTGGCCAACAACTCAGCCCACCAAAAAGATAGGACCAGTCGGTGATGGAGAGAGAGGGGGTAAATAATTATTTATGATTAAATTTTAAATATTTTAAATTATATTTAATAAACGATTTTGAAGAGTTTCATGTCATGACGAAGTATCATTGATCTGTGGTGCCATTCTCGGTTAAGTAAGGTAGCAAACACTGTTTCGCAGGAACCGTTTGTCAGTACGTGGTGGCGGTGGGGGTGAAATAGAAGTACGTAAGTGAGCTTATTCTTGTTGAAACATTGTTATGTCCAATGTTTGACATGTAGTCTCTAAATTATTTTTTCTTAATGTTATTACATTCAAGGATTTGATCGGAGTTTACTTTTGTTTTTTTTTATTAAACAAATAAAATAAGATTTAAAACTATGAAGGTTCGTTGAATGTGACAATTTGATTTCTGTGTGTTGTGTTCAACTTCCATGCAAGCCATGAATGGAAATTAACGAAACTAAGCGTTCAGTCGCATCTTCACATGTTGCGCAAATCTCTTTTCTTAATTTTTAAAAAACCAACTGAATCATTTTCAATAAAGCGACGTTAAAAAAAAGAAACCGTCGTCTTTGCAGGAATTGTTTGAAAAGGTGCGGTCACCTACATTAATTTAGATAAACGATAAATTTCGTAAATAAATTTGAACAAATTGGAAGCTTCAAGAAACGACCTTTTATTTTGAACGAACAAATTTGCTTCAAGTTTCAATGGGTTATTAAAAAAGCCAAAAATAAGAAAAAAAAATTAAATAACTAATCAAATGCATTATAAACGGCTGATGGGTTAATATTTGACTTGTTTTGTTAAAAAGTCTTACACAATCTAATATCAGGTTTGGCACGTAGATCTTTTATTAAATAAGTCGCGTTCTTTGCCGTATTTAACATTACGTGGACAAAGTTTTTCATAACGATTTATAAACTGATGTAAAAATTATTATAACACATCACAGGAATATCAAAATTTAGAAAATCGATTCAAGCACTGATAATATATGTCAAGTTTACAAGTTTAATTTAAATGGAATACTTGAGAATGAGTTTTTTTTAATTATTTAGATCCTACTTTCTTCCAGTGTGTCGAGGAGAGCTTGCAGTCTGGTTTCATCGACCTCCATAGGACTGCAGATCAAGATCCCGCTGTCCTCGTCCTCGCTTCCCACCAGTGCATTCACAAATTTCTTCGGTGCTGCCTTGCTGTCAGTTTCTACTTCTGTTGTTTTGTCATCTAGCTGAAGTTTGTGTTGAATTCGGCTTTCAAAAACTTCATTTTCCAATCCATCAGCATCGGTTATCGATTTACAAAATTGTTTGTTCAGATTGGTCTTCACTTTTAATTTTTTCAATTTGTTTTTGATGTTATGTGCTGCGGCGGGTATCTGTTTCAAATCGTCATCTTCCTTCTCCGACCACCCGATGTTTCTTTCAACTAGTTTCTCTAGTGAAAAGTTCAACGAGCTGATATGCGAAACATCATCCTTCTCCTCAGAATAAATGTCACTTTCACGTGCGAAAAGAGAAGAGTTGTTTTTGTTTCTTAAACCTTTTTTAGAGTTATGGTTTATTGAAATGTCGAAGTTTTCATCAAGTTGGTCGTTGTTGACTTTATTTTTGTTCAGACGGCGTTCAAGTGCTGTCGAGTTTTCAAATTTTGAAGCATGGTAAGCACGAACGTTGATACTTCCTTTGCTATCAAGCTTTTCGCTACGAAGTTCTGATCCTAAAACTCGTTGGTTGTTAGAATTCATTTGAAAGGTGTCGACGTCGTTTCTTTTTTTTGAGCTTCCGTCGTTAGCGTGGTTTGCAAATTTGTTGAAAATCTTTTCATGTTTTGTCCTCGGCTTCAAATCATCTTCATTGTTTAGACTAATACCGTAGTAAAAATTAAATTTGTCATTCTCACTTTCATAGTCACGATCATCATCGTCGTCATCATTACTACTTTTACCGTCATCACCTTTGTTTTTTTGATGTTGAATGTTGATTTTTTCCTGGTTGTTGTAATTTTCGAAGTATTCTTTCATTTCGGAAATGGATTTTTGATTGAAGACTTTCTTCAGTTGGTTCTCATCATTTGCGTTGGTCGTGATTTCTATATTTTGATTGGCTGGATTGTAGGCTGGATTCTCCCGCATGGATTCATTTTTTAAAGACGGTTGATGCGGTGACTTCAATGGTTGAGATTGTTGTTGTTGAGGTTGACGATGACGTTGATGTTTCAGTTCCGATAGATTGTTTTTGACGTTGCATTCTGATTTGTCAGTTTGTTTGTTTAAACCGAAAGATGGTGCTGTTGCTGAAGTTATTGATGATGTTGGTGCTGATGTTGTTGTTGATGTGGTTGATATTGATGTCGATGTGGATGATGTTGCTGTTAATGTTTCAATTGCTCCAATTTGAGGTGACGAGTCCTTTTGTGATGGAGTGCTCGATGAAAAGATGGGCGATGAAAGATGTGCGAAGCCGGGTGAATGGGGTTGGATAGATGTGAGCAGTTGGAAGCCGGCTCTCTGCTGAGGTTTTGCACGGGACCCTGCATTCTCATCTGGCCGTGATAAAACGTTCGCCGTCGATGGGTTATTGCTATTTGAACGAGTTTTATGGAAATAATTTGTTGGTTGTTGCTCTTTCTGAATCATCAATTCGAGTTGTTCATGTCGATTTCTTAGTCTAAGCTTTTCTTCTTCTAAGTTTTTCTGTCGTTGGATTAAAAGATTTTGTTGCTCAATTGATTTTTGTTCTTCTACAAAATTTTTGTTCATTTCTTTCTCTTCCTGCTGGCATCGGCTGTTCGAGAAATGTTCTGCATTGTGAGCTTTTTCTTCTTCACTGTTTAGTTGATGTTTTTGGAGTTGTTGAAAATGTTGTCGTTGATGATGATTTAGATATTGTTGTCGATGAGTTTTATTGAGCTGGTCAAGAACAAAAGGAACCTTAATTTTGAAGGTGGTCTGTCTGAAAGTTATGAAAACTTGCGAAACGTCAACCGTGTTAGGCAGTTGCACGCTGATTTCCTTCGTTAAGCGTTGCGGTCGTGAGATTATGTTGGTTAAAGTTTCATCGTAATTGTTGCCTTTTTTGAAGTTACTTTTGGTTCTACTGAGGTTGTGCTCGTCAGAAAGATGAGGTGCTTTCTTGTAAGTTCGGTCTATTTCGGCTTCGCTAGTCACACTATTTTGGTCATTAGACAGTGGATTTGTTGCTCCAGTCAAAAACACCACGTGATTGCTCACATGGTGAGTTACGTCATGAACGAATCTACCCATGTCCACCTCAATACTGTAGATCAGCTAGTGGAGGGAGTTATGAAAGTTAAATTCACTAAAATGACAAATACACAAACAGACTAACCAATTTGAAATCAGTAAAATACGAAGGTTCTAGCGAACATGTTAAGGAAGTATGTTGTAACAAAAGTTAAGCATGAATGATTTGGTTTTAAAAGTCAGCGTGAAAAGAGAGATAGTGTACGTGCCTAAGTACGCATATGCGGCTAGATGTCAACAACGAATCTGCTGTTTGCAGCCTGCGTCTAATTATTTGTACGTGATGATGATGATAATAATAAGGTAAGCGGCAGATGTTGGAGTGCACATAGAATTTTGAAATTTAATTTTAAAGCTGATTCATACGTCAATACGGATAACATTTTATGAGATTCTACGCAATTATGTTTACTGCCATGTAAATGTTCTGTCTCTGAATGATTTGCATTTAATGAAGACATGTTTGTTTAATTAAACTAAGATATCTACTGTTTTCAATTCTGTTATGCTGTGACAGAAGTTCCCATGTACAAATAAATTGAATGTTGAATAAAGGATGAATATTTTAAAATTTCTTTTTATGAGCGTTAAATAAGTTCATTTGTAACATTCTCACGGGCAAACTCTTAACTGTGAGAAAACTGGACTGAATTTTTTTATACAAAAAATATAATTTTTAATTTACTTAGAAATTAATTATTATTTTGAAATCAGTCGATGAGATAACAAAACTATGTTGAATTGCATGTAGGCGAGTGACGCGAAGCATTATTGCAAACCTCATTCCCCTGCTCGTCTCGAATTATCGTCGGTTTGATGATCTGCCTGATCTCATCCATTGTTTTCATTCCTTCATTCTTTTCACAAATCCTTCCATCACTTGCACCCAGACTCGCACTTCTCACTCCTTCCACACCCAATTCCCTCATCCTCCTTCTTCTTCTGGCTCTCCTGATCACGTGGCTCAACCCGTCTGCACTTTCAATTCTCTCCTCCAACTTCCGGCAGGTCGCTTCCTCCAGGCGAACCTGTCAAGGATGGTGGTAGTGGTGGTGGGTTAGTTCAATGTTAAAAAAGTCAATTTTTTAATTTTATCTTTCTGAAACGATTGAAAATTTGATATGATTATTAAATTTATATAAAACAACAGCTGTTAATCGCATTAGATAAATAAGAAGAAAAAGCAACCTTGTTATGCCACAGACCCAACTCTTTCAACCTCTTCTCAATCTCTCTCTCCTTCTCAACATCCCCAAACTTCACTATCTCTCCTATTGTAGATGGATTGGAAGATGAAGTGCAGGACGATCTCTCCAACATGGTGGACATTGATGTTATGTGAAATTTATTACGTTTTTGTTATTGATGTTGTTGTTGTTGATGATGTCGTTGTTGTTGTTTTAGCGGTAAATGTTGTTGTCAGCAACGAAAAATTTCTTCAAGCTTTCTTGCAAAGTTTTTACCAAAATTTTAAAAAAATTTAAGTATAAAAAATAGAATATATCGGTAACCATCTGCGACGCTCGTGATAATGGAAAACAGAATGATGAAAGTAATCAGCCATGGAAGTATTGCGTAATGAACGAGGTAATAAAGCGAGATAGAAGCGCACATGAATCAACTAGTAACATTGATGATCAAAATAATTACACCACATTATGTTAGATTTGTGATGAAATAAACTCAAATGACGCTCTGCTGAACAGTGCAAAAACATTGAAGAACCGATGACGACTGTTTTAATGCTTTCTATTAAAATGTATTTAGAAATAAGCATTATGTACTTAAGCCGTCATTTATGTTCTAACAAAGTGAAAATCATAAAATTAAATCAAAAAAATATTGCCTACAGATGTAATATGTGTAGTTAGGTCTTTTCTTGGTTTCTGGAACTGCGGCTGCTGTAGTTGTTTTATTAGAGGCTACTATCCTTTTTTAAATAACGCTGGTGTTCTTCTGGATCGTACATAACGCCATGAAACGACTACACGTTTTCGTCTTTTTGTTTTCAACATTTTTCAAAATTTTTTACTAAATGGCGTCGTAAATCCGATTCTGTTAACTCCGATTGAAAAATTTCCTTGGCGTCGTCGGTGTTTGTCGATTGCGAATGCGAATGCTCGCACGAAATTCGATCGTCAGCGTCCTACAGCACAGCACGGTGCAGTAGAGAGGTAGTAGTAAGAAGTATTGTAGCGGCGACAGGTGTGTCACTTCGTCTTTTTTCTGTTTGTCTGATGCGTGCTATATATTCAACGTACAATCATTTACACATATAAACACACATACATGTTATATATGTTACATAGATAACAACATGGAGAATAACTTGGACGGTGTGAGCTGGCAACTTCTCTCCGATCCTTTCAATTGAGAATAATTCTAATTAAATTCAAATAAATTCAGATAAACAATGGAAATTTTTGTTGAAAGGCAGGTTTCCTAACTCTACATTTATATATATATATATATATATATATATATATATAATATACATATGAAAACATGGGAACATGAACGCATGACCACACATGAATATCTACAAAAAGAATAAACAAGTTAAATTATAATGAGAGATAGGATGACGAACAAACTGTGTTAATAGAAACAGCCTGATAGATAAACGAACGAACGACACCTCATGAATATGCATCAACATTCCTTTCATATCTGTTCGTTAGTTCGCTCGTGTGTGTGGCTTGTGTGTGTGTGTAACTAACACATTTAGGCTTTACAGCAGCATTAAAGAATTTTAGAAGATTTTAAATTGAAAAGAAATATCCTCATATTCGAGCTATAACCAAACCAGCAGAGCAATTAATGAAATGTTTCCCCAGCTGTAGTTAACTAAACTCTTAATATATTGTCGAATATTATTTCAAAAAAGCTTAATCAACTGACAGCGGTGGACCGAAACATGCAAATGACGAGATGAAGATCAAGCGGGATGATAAACAAAATGACCGACCGAGCATCGAGTTTGAACGAAATCACAGTCGACAATTAAATTGCAAGACACCGAGCTATCTCACGCTGCTGTTACGCGATGGCACGGTTCGAATACAGTCTGTCCGAAATACAAAAAACCTTCATACGTTATATTTGCAAGACTTGTTCAAACTCGAACAAACACTCTAAACCGTACAGATCTACAAACAATTTCGAGATTTTAGTAAAGAAAGAAAAACACAATTGTTGCTTTTATTTGAATTCATTCAAAAATGGAAAGTGACGGTTAATTAAAATTGTAAAAACGTCAATTTTTTTAAAATTCGAATTTTAAACAAATAAATATAACAAAATATCGACCGATAAAAAATAATTATTATCCATTATTATTATACACACTCCTTAGTAGTTCTCGGAGAATGATTCACGTAACATGAACATTTAGCAAGAACAGTTCACAGCATATCATAATGACTAAATCAACATACCAAACAGAAATTATTTATACATGCATATATACAAAGTAAATCAAGAAATATCCAAAATTTATATAACCAAATAAAAAAAAAACTAGAAACCAGTCAACATTTAATAAATAAATAGACATTATTAAAAAGATCGTTCAAAAAGGTAAAATTTAAGACGACGACGAGAATAAAATGTAGTTTGTTTTGTTGGTGTTGTGCTGTGAAGCAAAAACAAACAAACACATCAAACAAAACTAGTAAGAAGTCGCAAGAATAGTAGTCAGTCACCTACCTACAATTAAATTGCTCTCAGGGCCCTATCTTACTTATAATCATTAACTCAACTCACCTACCTACAAACATGTATTTCTACGTTTTTGGAATTATACATGTTTCAAATATTTTATTTAACATATTTTAGCGTTTTTATTTTACTTGAAACTTTTTAACTAATGTTAAGCCCTAGCCTACCTACGATTGTTCAACTCATCTCAATCCCTAACTTACCTATGAATTAAATTAAGTCCGGTAAAAAAATAGAAAGTAGAAGAGAAACATAACAGCGACACCGAATCAATGGATGTTGTGTATGTGTGTTGTATTGATGTATGTGCGTAAATGTGCGCGGGTATACTCTCCAGACACTTCTTATTGTCGTTTTCGAATTGTCATTGGAACGATCATCATGAGATCACCATCTGAAACGTGCTGACGCCCTCCACAGCCCACCTCTTATCATTCTGTGGACAAATTTTTTTATTTTCGTAGTAGTAAATGAATGTTAGAATCTTAGAAGCAAAAAATTATAAAATGAAAATAACGTCAAATAATAATATTTTAAAATAATAGAGATAGTAAAATGTAAAAAAAACTTACCGTCGTCCATTCGACAAAGGCAGAATATTGAATGCGGTCCGGTTCCTACGTTGTCCTCCAAAACTGGTGCCAGTCCTCCTCGAGATTGTTGTTGAAACACAGCCCGTGTCGATGGAGAAAGATAAAGAGAATATTCTCATCAGAAAGCTTAGCGGTGCCTGCGTCTCAAATTGCCTAATAAAAATAATCCTATCTACCTATTCAATTAGCTTAACTAATCTATATTAAATTGTTAATGGTACGATAGTCGAAAGTCCCCCTTCATTCAGAGTATATTGGCTATCGTACCCTCAACTTACCTATTCATTACAATTAAGCCCTAGCTTACCTAAAATTACAACACTCAAGAGCCCAATTCATCTAGCCAATCGGCACCCACCCCACCACCTACGTAATGCCTTGGGCTCCAACTTAGTAATAATAATATGAAACTTAAACCCTAAATCTATTAATGAGTATGTGTTACAACGTAGTCTTAACTTACCTATTCATTACATTACTGCCCTAGCTTACCTAAAATTACATAACTCAAGAGCCCAATTCATTGGCCTTTCGGCACCCACCCCACCACCTACGTAATGCCTTGGGCTCCAACCTAATAATAATAATGTTAAACTTAATAATTAATCTACCTATCAATACACTTACAGCGTTTTAATTTACATTACAAAATTATTCCTAGAATTACATTATTGCCCTTAACTACCTATGAAATTAAATTACTCCCAACCTTAATAATAATAAATTAGAATGTGTAATGAAAATAAAATTACGCTCAAATACTAACATATGTGTTAATGTGTGAATTTGTGTGTGTGTGATACACTGATGCGTGTAATGTGGGTGCAAGAAAAAATAGAAGCGATAAACTTACGCAGCCTACCTATTCAACTACATTAATGTTGGATGCTTCCTATCTATCTTACCTACAATTAAAATTATGCCTATCTAACCTACCTATATAGCTACTTAATGTAATTGTGTGTTTGTGCGCGCGTGTGAGCATTCTTACTTATTGTTAAATTACAGAGAAAAACAGAGAATAAAGAATAAAACGTATCCCAGCAAGGCGTGTATTCTTTGCCACTGAATGAATGAACGTTGCCTGACATCTTCCATGATGAACTCCTCTGGAAGCTTCAACCTGAATGAAATGAGTAAAATGAAAAAATCTTGTTTATTTATTTAATTTAAATGAAAATAGAGAAACGAGCCACAGTGTAAAACCCGCCTGCCGGAAAAGCCAGCCAACTGGCAAAAAAAAGAACCGCAAAGTAAACGTAAAACGTAAAATGCAGCCAGGCGTGCATTCTTTGCCACTGAATGAACGAACGTAACGTAGCGTGACATCACAACCAATTCACGATGAACTCTGGAAACTTCAACCTGAATGAATGAACCTGAATCAACCTAAATGAATGGAAAAATCTTATTTATTTAATTAATTTAAATGAAAATAGTGAAACGCAAAGAAGCCGACCGGTCGGCAAAGAACCTCAAAGAAAGTTATCTATATAAGATTTAAGCTCTATATAACTCTATATAACTCTATATAACTCTATATAACTCTATATAACTCTATATAACTCTATATAACTCTATATAACTCTATATAACTCTATATAACTCTATATAACTCTATATAACTCTATATAACCATGCATACTACCACATTCAATCAATAAAAATTCCACTAAAACCAGGAACTACCGCGTACCTGTTATATGTATGGTGTGAAACAAAACAAAAAAACACACAAAACACACCACCAAGTAGAGTAAAAGAGTAGAAGTCCCTAACCTACCTATGTAACTAAATTGCCTTATGCCCTAGCCTACCTATATAATAAATTAATTTTTAATCTCACCTACCTATGTTTCATTAACTTAACTTAAGACTCATGAAGAAAGAGAAAAAGGAGTAAAACAGAACATAAAATACTACCACATAAACAAACATGATATATGTATGTATGTATGCATGAGCAACCGCTAAAGAATCCCCCTAAAATATAAAAAAAATACAACATACAAACACACAAGCCACAGACATGCAAACTCTATATAACTCTATATAACTCTACATAACTCTATATAACTCTATATAATAAAATAAATAAAAATAAAAAAATTATAAAAATAAAATAAATGAGATCAGACAGACTGCTTCAAGCGAGGCAGAATGCCTGATCTGACATTCATGCTGTCTCAGCTCCTATTTATACTCGTTTCAACCATACATTTTCATCATTTCAATCATTCACATCAGTGAAAAACTTATTTAATGTATGTACTACACTATTATAGAGTCTTAACAACAATGCTAACCGTTCTAAATTGACGTCATCAAAAGAACGCCTTCGAAACTTTCTGATTGGCTGATTGAATCTGCTATATTGCTTTTTATGTAAACATATAATCTTATTAATTATTTGTATACATGGATTCTAGTCACTTTATATATATATAAATATATCATATATATATATATATATATATATATACATACATATATAATATAAATTCCTTATTAAAGCAACAGTGATCAGTGCAACATATGTACGCACGCAGTTCAAAACAGTTTGAGATCACACCTTGCTTAACATCCGATTCCAAGCCGAGCCAAGTCAAGCCAAGCCGAGCCAAGTCAAGCCGAGCCAAGCTGAGCCAAATTAAGCCAAGCCAAGCTGAGCCAATATGCGTAGATTTATAAGCGCTTATATATTAAAATACAACATTATAAATGTATTATAACTACGTATATATTTATCTATATATCTATCTATTTCTTTGTTTAGTTCTGCCTGCGTATGATATTTGGTCAAATTTATTTGATAGGAATTGAATATAACCTTTATACCGGCTGATTAACTACTATGCAGTAAAATAACTACTGTTAACATGACGTCATTTCCTCCAACGATTTCGCAACGAATTACCCATCTTATTTAATAAATTTTGTTTGATGTTTTTTAATTAGTCAGGTCCACAAAACTTTGTGGCACAAAAGTTTAAATACAAATATAGAATAACAAGTAAGCTGCTCGGCTTTTGACAGCTGCGCTTAAAAGATTATGAAAAAGCATACAAACACACCGCAAAAGCAGCTGAACACAAAATGCAGCATTATTTACAGGCACAATTGTTAATCAAGAAAAAATCATTTACACCATCATCAAGAAAGAAAAAAACGATTAAAGACAAAAATTAATGTGCTAAAATATTTCATTAGTCACCCAAATGACACTCCGATAAATATTTTACTTTGGTCCAAAATCCGCCACTGCTGACGTTGTTTTGGGGTTGTATTACTGTGCAAACACACAAATTGCAACTGATTTTTGTCTAGTGTAACGAAGCTACCAAAAATAATTTTATTAACAACCAGCATCCATCAGCTGCCAGTTACTTGCATACTGCTCGTCCCAATTATGATCTTTGAACTACCCTCTGACAAAGTTTGAAGACGTTATGAGGGATAACTAAGAGTATTTTGACGTTTCGCTATCATAAATAGTAGGGAGAATGTAAAAAAGATCCAAAATAATAAAGTGAAAAGTGGACTTAGTAAAACTTCCGTCAAATAAATTTCTTATTATTCGATTTTCATTGATTGGCCTGCTTTTTTCCATTTAATAATAATAATAATAATAATTTGTATTATCTCGTCCGATACATCATATGAAAAAAATATATCCTACATTATATTATATTCATTTGAGTTATTAATGTTGCAGTTCAATTATTTAGCTCATAGTTTTTTTAACTAGTTTTTTTTATTTACTTAACTAACTTTATTTACTCCTCAACTAAAATTATTAAATACGCTACTGAGCTAAGGAGCTGTTTTTTTGTTCGTAAAATAAAATAAAAAACAAGACGCTCGCCACACTACCCTAGGACTAGAGTAGTGAAGATTGAGTATAATTTATTTATAATAGTTTGGAAGAAATCACACACTTGCCTTGCCGGATTATTTGAGTAGGCAGATAGTAATAAAATAAATAAAGTTAGTGTCTTTAATATTAATATTTTATTTGATGCAAAAGTCCAGGCCACTGAACCTGAACAATAACATGATATCATCGGCCACGAGTGGCTCTGGTGGGCAACAGCAGCAGCAGCAGACGTTAATTCAGCCATCAATAACTTCGTGTTGGAGTTCGGCTGGCCTTCAGATTCCATCTCATCCAGCAGGAGGGCCCGGCCAGCAGAATTTAGTAAACTCGCCATCGTCGAGCTCCATTGCAAGGCAGCTCTCTCGGGAAGCCACAATTGTTAATAATGGTCAGTCGCTTGCTTTTATTTAGAGTTAGATCTTAAATTTAACTCAAATGTTTTTAATTTTTTTAAAATTTAAATGTTCATATTTATGTGTAATGCAACTAACAAAAATAATTTTTATAAACCTCATAAAAATGTTGTAAATGTTATGATGAATGAAGTTGTTGCAATGTTTATATTGTGTTGGATATAATGGTTTAGTTGTTGTTTTATTGATGTAAAATTTTTCTTTACAATGTAAAGAAAGTTGATGATTGCATTAATAAAAATAACATCAGCTACAAAATAAACATTGACATCCCTAACTTAACCACAATATTAGTGACAGCATCAAAAAACACAGCAGGTCCACAGCACATTGACATCACTTTCGATGCTCGCAAACGAGAATTACTTGAAGCCCGGTTCACAAATGAAAAAGTTGTTTACTAATTTATTTTAATCATTTATTATTCAGAAATTTTGAAAAAAAACATTTTAATATATTTTACTTAACCGTGTTGAACAGCAAACTGCATCGGTTGAACCTTCTGCCCTTCCACCTCTTGCTTCTGCGACTAACCAGAATCAGTCGGATTCAAACATGAGCACATCATCACAACAGAGCAATGGAACACTTAACGACGAGCCACACAACCACCATCCTCCATCTGATGTTTACATTTTTTAGAATTAATTTTTAATTTATTTCTAGTCCATTACAATGTAAAAAAAATTGTAAAAATTTGTAAAAATATATATATATATATATCTTTTATATTAATTCATCAGGACAAACATCGAACACCGTCTGGTGGTGATAGGAAGAGGAAAAGAAAAGTTAATCAAGATTCTAGTGCAGGTCGGTACTTTAATTAGATCAAATCTTCAAGGTTTCACTGATACAAGTCGTTGCTTAATTATTTAGATTAACAGTTGGTGATTTATTAGGATATGTTGTGTGATTCAATTGATGTTAAGTAATTGAGGCTTTGATGTCTGACAGAAAAAATGACTCGATGTGATGTAAAGAGGAGCATCGACATGAGTGAAGTTAGTTATCGGTTGCATTCATATTTTCATTATTATTGATTTGTGGATTTTATTTCTTTATATTAATTATTTCATCATTTGATTTTCCATGAAACATTCGACCAACTAAATAATAATAATTATTGTAGTGTCATGCGGGTAGTCCTGGAAGGCCACCCAACACATTGAACATACCAAGCAACAGCAGCAGCAACAACAACAACAACAACAATGCTCCCAGCAACAACAACATTGTCAGTAACAGTAGCAACAAAAACAATTCACCTTCTAATGTTTGTTCTCTTTTTATCATAGCAATGTTTGTGTTGATGGTATTGTGATAAAATAATGGAATGGTGGTGTGGCGTGGTGTGAGGCAATAGTCTGGTTGGGCAGTTAACATGTAAGTGACAACCTCCAGAGCCATGCAAATATGATGAGCACGTACGAAAACAACAACATCTTATTAAACATTCAACAACAACATCTGCTGCCGCCACCACAAAATGTTGCCATGCCAAGCCCTGGCAGACCCTACAACTGTACCACGGGATTCCTTGTTTCAAAAAATACACAAGTATGACTATGATCATTACACGCTTGCTGATGATGGTGATGCTCAAAATTTATATTTTTTTAGGTCTTTTGATTTTTTTCATCTATAATTCATTCATAAACCTTTTATGTGACCTACTGCTATATTCTTCATCACTTCATATCTATTGCCTTTTTTCTCCTACCAACCCCAACAACAGACCGACATGACATCCCAGCAACTCGAAGCTCTTGAGAACAAATCAACTTGCGAACTTGCCAAAAAAGATGCAGCCATCGATAAATTAGAACTTGTTAGTTTTGTTCCTGTTGATGTTGTTGTGCTGCTCAGTCAATATATCACCCATTCAGTTATTAATTAAATAATTGAAATGATCAAATTGAACAATGTAGGATAAGGAGGAAGTGATGAAGCAAGTGCAGTCACATCAGAAACAAGTTGAAAGGCACAAGGAGACTATTCAGAAATGCATCAACATCACCAAAATGTTACTCATCGAAAAGGTGGTCCAACACATTCATTTTTTACTAATAAGTAACTAACGCCAACAGCTCATCAACACATCACCTAACAACAACAGAGCAACCTAGAGAAAAAGTCTGCAAGGCAACGATGCATGGAGAATCGATTGAGGTTGGGACAGTTTGTGACGCAAAGACAAGGAGCAAGTTTTGTAGAAAACTGGGTGGATGGATATGCATTTGCTGATCTCATCAAGTTAGTCGTTGTGGCTCTCGTTGTACTGAATGTGATGCTGATGCTTAGTTGTATGAAGGATTCTCATCCTGTTATGTTTATGTGGTATACTTAATCCATTCACCTAAAATATTCACTCACACACACACATACACACAGGCAGCAGGAGAGGATAACGCAAGAAAGAGAGGAAATAGAGAAGCAGAGAAAAGTGTTGGGGAAGAAAAAACCAACCAGCTCTGGTTCCAGTGCAATCTCATCCAAATCCAACAAAGCTGTCAAGGAGAACAACGAAGGATTCCTCAGGCCAAATGATAAGCCGTTTGTATAATTTTATAATCTTGGGCTGATGATGACGACGATGATGGCGACGACAATGGAAGGATTTCTATGATGATAAATATTTGTTTACTTGGTGCCAATGATGACATCATAATAAAAACAACTGCTCATAATCTGTTCGGATTCACAAACACACAAACCCCAGTTTGACAGCAATGCATCCACACACATCCACAAACACACAAACCCCAGTTTGACAGCAACAGAATTTTACGAGCAGGATGAGATAATGAAGTTGAGGCAGGCAGCTCTGAAGAAAGAGGATACTGACCTGCAGTTGGAACTGGAGAAGCTGGAGCAAGAAAGAAACATCCACATCAGGGAGCTGAAAAGGATCCACAGTGAAGATGCTTCTAGGTGCTGTTCTCGCCGTCCTCGTTGATTGCTCTTGCTCTTTGTTTGTTTGTTTGTGTGTTGTTGTGGTTCTGTTGTTTGCGCAAATTTGCTATCTGAGTTCTGTAATTTTAAAGATTTCAACCATGTTAACAGATTCAACAATCACCAGATCCTGAATGACAGATACCTACTACTCAGTCTACTTGGCAAGGGAGGATTCAGTGAGGTTCACAAGGTCTGTCTGCATCTTTTTGTTTGTGCAAGGGTTGATATTGTTCCTGCTGATGCTGCCGTTATTGCTGCCATCGTAATTATTTGCATCATCCTTATCACCCCCAACCGACCAATCATCCTACTGACCAATCAACCAACAAACCAACCAGGGTTTTGACTTGAAAGACCAACGCTATGCAGCTTGCAAAATCCACCAACTGAACAAAGATTGGAAAGATGATAAAAAAGCAAACTACATAAAGTATATTGTTGATGGGGTTGTTGTTGTTGTGGTTCCCTTGGAGACGTTGCTTTCGTTGGCTCTGTATATGATAATAATGTAGAAAGCTGTAGGAAATAATAAAAATGATAATAAAAGTAATGATGATGATGATGATTTTTTTGTAGACATGCTTTAAGAGAGTACAACATACACAAGCAACTGGACCATCCGAGGATCGTGCATCTGTACGATGTTTTTGAAATCGACAACAACTCGTTCGTTTTGTTTAGTTGTTTTTGAAAAGGAGTGATGAATTTATGGTGATGTGCCGAAATGTACGTGATGGTGATAGGACCAACAATTCTGTCAACGACAACCATCTAACTGTAAGATATATGTGTACATTCTTTTACACACAAACACACACACGCTTTGACAGGTTCTGTACTGTGATGGAATATTGTGAAGGCAACGACCTTGACTTTTATTTGAAGCAGAACAAATGTTTGCCCGAGAAGGAGTCCAGATCAATTGTGATGCAGACTGTCAATGCTCTAAAGTACCTCAACGAGATCAAACCGCCTGTCATACATTATGATCTCAAACCTGGTCCGTGTGTGTTTGTGTGTGCTTGTGTGTGTGTCTGTGTGCATATGTGTTTGTGTGATTGACTGAGCTGTGTGTTTGGGAGTTTTGAATGAATGAGTGAATAGTTGTACGAGGAATGAATGATGCAAACACCAGGAAACATCCTACTAGGGAGTGGAGGTTTTTCAAAAGCTGACTCGAGTCAGCAGGGCAGTGTTTCTGTCAGCGGCGAGATCAAGATAACTGATTTCGGTCTCAGCAAGGTAATGGATGATGAAAATTACAGCCCAGATTGTGGCATGGACCTCACCTCCCAGGGGGCTGGCACTTACTGGTTGGTGGGGCTCTCCTTGCTTTTTTGTTACGTGATTCACCGGTATATTGGACTGAGATTATCTGATATGCGGTTGTTTAAAAATATCACAGATTTGCATGCGTTGTTCAATTTCAAATGTATGGATGCGCATGTACATGTATGTGCATGTGTGTGATGATGTTCCTGTTTAATAGGTATCTGCCACCAGAATGTTTCGTGGTGGGTAAGGAGCCTCCAAAAATATCATCGAAGGTGGATGTTTGGTCCGTGGGCGTCATCTTTTATCAGTGTTTGTATGGCAAGAAGGTACTGTGATGACGATGATATAGTTATTATCATTATTTTTGTTGTTATTATTCAAATCATGAATACTAGACATTGAACTATGCATCAGCACACATTCCCAACATGACAGCGATTTCATTAATTACTTCCATATAACACCATCATTAACGGCAGCCATTCGGACACAACCTATCACAAGCGGCCATCCTGGAGGAAAACACGATTTTGAAGGCAACTGAAGTCATGTTTCCAAGCAAGCCACTTGTCTCTAATGAGGCCAAGGTTGGTTGCATGCTATTCAGATTAGGATGATGATGGTGATTGTAATGGTTAGGGTTAGGGTATTACGTATTTACCTTACAACACCGTGACAGCATGGTAGCAATAGCAAAATCTCACAACCTCACACACGCGCCAAAAAACATCACAACAACAGAACTTCATACGCCGATGTTTGACCTATAAGAAAGATGACAGGCCAGATGTCCTGACCCTATCAGCTGATGACTATCTCAAACCGCCGACGCTCAAATCAAAGTAATCATGATTTAATTACTACCATTACTATCACCGTTATAATAACAATTCATCACCATCTTAATCGTCATCAGGAAATTCTCAGAAGATAGTTCCAGTCAAAGTTCTTTATAAAAAGATTATGCTGTTGGAAATGGTGGATGAAAATTCAAAATTAGAAGATGATGAAGATGGTGATGATGATGGGGTGGGAATATAAAAATGGTCTTAATGGTGATAAAGAAGTAAATATTTATGGTGCTGATGGTGATGATGATAAAATACTACCTGTTATGATGTTTGTGTTGATGATACTTGGTTCAATTTGTGTAGCATCACAATGAAAATAACATTCATTTGTTTTTGGGTATTGGTTTATTTGCATGCATGTCCTCCCATGTAGGTGAGTGAGTGGTGAATGAATAAATATATATGCATGTATGTATGTGTGTGTGTGGGTGGTATGGATTTTTTTTCTCTTAAGTTTGTAGTTGAAGGTATCTTTTAATCATTAAGATAATGGTTTAAAATGTTTTAAAATTGTTCATTGTGTTTGATGAGTGTATGTGTACATATTCAACTTACTTACCTACCAGTGCATGTGTATTCATATATTTTCATCAATCTACATACCGTTTTAAATTATCGTCAAAATTTTATAATTTCGTTCCGTTACCATCTGTGCTTATTAATGTTCGATAATAATTCATCTTTATTTCGATTTCTGACAGCTTTTATGAACTTATCACAGGAATTAAATTATTTTTTGTCATCGTTAACATCATCATTATTAATGTGTCTCTTGGGGCAGTCGTGTCACGAGCATCAATGATGTTTTCAAGCTATTAAAATGATTATTAAATAATTATTTTTTTATTTAGTTCATTTATTCATACATTTCGAATTTTAACGAGGATGATGGTGAACAAGAAATTTCTTATTAAGTTTGCTGTCAAGCTGGCAGACACATTAAACGATAAGTTAAAGTTATATTTGTGTATGTATATTATATGCGTGTATGCATAGTATATATATATATATATATATATACAAGTCTGTCTGTTGTTTATCATTTCTGTGTTTATGTTCAGTCAGATCTTTTGATTGCATATTTTCAAATGACAATGTTTTTTAATTGTTTTCTAAAATAATGAATAAAATCGTTTCATGTTTCAATATAATATTTTTATAACTATGATGTTGAAGTCTTTGGAAGTTTGTTTTATAAACCAATTTTTGAACGGTTCTCGTTGAGGTTAATTTCATCTTTTTTCCTTCACTTTCTATTTTTTAACTTTCATCACTCATCGTTATCGCTCTGGTTATATATAAGTGTGTGTGTGTGTGTGTGTGTGTGTGTGTGTGTGTGTGGCTCAACACATTAATATAGAATAAAACTACATTTTTATATAAAAACAGTTAAATTTTTAGATACAACATGTAAAAACTTTTAAGACTGCAATTCACTTTTATCCTACGAAAGGTGCTTCGCTGAGGTTCGGTAGCTGCACTTGTGGCGCTAGGCTGACTGACTAAAACTCGTACGTTCTTGATCTTTTATAACTGTTAGTAGTATTCATTTAAAGTTAATAATTTTTTAATACATTTTTAAGTTTTCATTATAACAAGTGTCTTTAATTGCTTAATTTAATTTTAATATACTAGGAAGGAAAACCGATCGGCACGTCATGATGACAGCGTCCAACCAAACGCGTCTTCACGTTTTTTCTGTTACACTCTTGTCCTACCTAATGACACTAACTTGTTTGATGATTTTTTTGGATGCCGAGACTTCGGCGAAATTTAAAATAAAGAAAAAAAGCATTCTTGATTATGACGACGCCGATGTAGAAAGATTATTTGAACAATGGGAGGTCTGTTTGTAAAAAAATATTTTTCATTTTTTTTTATTGAAGATAAAATAATAAAGTGAAGATAATTAATTAAAAGAGTGGTCACCTGTACTGTAGTGTGATGGTAAATGTAACTTTTCCAAATTAGGTTTAAAAAAAAGAATAAATTTTAAATAAATTTAATTATTAAACTTTAAAATGTTTAAGTTTTAGTATAAAATAAACTACCTATAAAGAATAAAATTATGCAATTTTGATTAACTGAATATAAATTATGTGTCATTAACAGGAAAATGATGAACCATTAGAACCTGATGAATTGCCAGAATGGAAGCAGCCATCACCACAAATTGACCTGTCCAAGTTTCAAGATGGGGATGTTGAAGAAATGTTGAAAATGTCAAAAAAAAAGAAGACCCTTATGATGTTTGCCTCCGTTTCTGGTTTGTCTTTGTGATGTGTTTTTTATAGGCGGGGTTGGATTTATAAAAAGACCCTAACCCTGGGGCCTCTACAAGAAAAATGATTAAGACAAAACGTAACTTCAACATTGTTAAAAACACTCTTCACTAAAAAAATAGTTTTAAAATGTGGAATAACCTGAAAAAAGTAACAGGCCACCAACTTTTCAAAAAGGCATTTTGATGCTACAAATTATAAAATTTTTGGGTCTCCATTAAACAATTCTCAAAAAATTATGTAATAATAAATAAATAATTTAAATTTAAATTCCACTAAATAATTTGGGCCTCTACTTTTTCATTGCTCTAGGGCATCTATGGTACTAAATCCAGCCCTGTTTTTGGGTGTAGATTTTAAGGTGTTTATCCTAAGTTGTTTATTTTTTTTATTAGGGATAATGAGATCTACAGTATTTGGGTATAGTTTCTGATCATGGATTCATATGGACATGATGAATCTTGACAAATCCATATATACTTATCATGTGTTGTTTCAAAATTAAATACATTTTATAGCTGACACTCCATTTCACTTGACATACTTCCATATTGTATACTGCTGAGCTTTTAGTATATTTGATAGTAGTGATAGCAATGTAAGTCAAGTTACAAACATCAAATGTTCAAATTTACTTTAATAAAATTTATTCTGCCACTGGTTTATATCTGTCTAAACTGTATTTTTAGCATTGGATTATGATCTAACTAGTATTCTGGGGTTTAGGTTAGAGTCTGAATATGGCTGAGAAGCATCACAATCATAGGTTGTTAATGGCTTAGTTATTTATTCATCTAAGTTGTATGCTTTATTGACGATCACACAAAAGCTCTGATAACAACAACAAAACTAATTATATGAACAATGCAGGGAATCCAAATAAGAAAGAAACAGAATCAATATCACAACTTTGGCAGATGAGTTTATTTAATGCCAACATCGAAGTTCAAACGTTGGTGTCTTGAATCTTGAATATAATTTAAAACATTCTAATTGACAGTTTTTAATGGTTTATTAGTTACTATATTTATTGTTTTTGAGTTTTTTCATCCTTCATTCATTAGTGGTAAGTAATATTGGCCTTTATTTGGGTTTTGATATGATAATATATTGGTTTGTATAATAAATTAGCTCAGAGGTACAGCAAACTTAAAATGATAGCAGCCATGAAAAAAAGCATTGAAACCACAATACTATAAACATATTAATAAAAGGTACGTGGTGAGTGAAAATCGTGTCCTTTTGACATTAAAAGATGGATCGTTGGCGTGGGATGTTAAAGATTTTCTGATTCAGCAAGATAGATGTGATTTCGTGACCATCGAAGGCAAGGAGTACTTTGCTAAGGATCGTACACACCGTGTGCAGACCAGTTAGTTGGATGATGAGGAAGAGGTGGACGAGAGTGGTAGTAATGATTGCTGTGATGAAAATACTTGTAAATTGATATTAATAAAATTAATTCAATTGTGTGAATCAATCAACAGTTTTGTACAATGTTGTATGTCTACCTGTAATATTACCTTTAGCAATTTATGGCTTGTAACTGCATTTACTTAATTTTATATTTTTTGTCAATATACTAATCACCAGACAATTCGAAAAAAGGACATCAGAAGAGCTCTGAGAAGAATAAAATGGTGATCTTTCTTGCTACGTGTATATTTTATTGTTTATATGGTAGTCATGAGTGTTTATTTTTAAAATGAGTTTTCATTCATTTGAGGAACAGTTGGTTGCTATATTATAGTTTCAAGCATCTCGAACTCGTTATTATAATTATTTTTATATGATTTTTTAATTTATTATAATGTAATCGTGTTTCCTATACTCAAATTAACTTTTTCCATGTTGGATCGTTACATGCATGCATGTGAAGTTTTTTGTTTTTGAAAGAACTTCAAGATGTTAAACATTTTAAAAATTGCTGACAGACGGATTCTAAAAAGGGAAACAAGAAAAACAATGGAAAAGAAGAGTTGTGATATTTTTATATCAGCTACTGTCTTGCTGGACTCAACACAGCAGTGCGTTTCATATGATTTCATTGCTGCATATAATGGGTATCCACTCTTTTCTATAACTTTCGTCATCAACTGTTGTATGTAATATCCTTTCGTTCAAAATGTTCTTTGGAGTGTTTCATTTGCATCTTTTTCAAAACAATTACTTTTTTAATAAAATGGATTTTTTTATAAAATAAAATTTACTTTTTTATTGTTGGTAGTTGACACCAGTTTTTTTGTTATAGCACATGCGTTTCATGTGGAATATTCATAAATGAAACCCAGTGCAGTATATGTCAATGGGGGTTTCAATATAGTGAATATAATGAGCCATGTTCTTGAATAATAGAAGTAATTTCCTTTTTCTCAGCTAGCGGTGAATAGTGATCATGATTGTGATACTGCTTGAAGTGCAAAATCGCAAATGCGTGACTCGCATTGATTAATTTTAATTATTTTGAAAATTTTTAAAAGACGCGAATTGATATTTTTTTATTTTTAATTGTTCCATTAATTTATAGTGCTTCTTAATTTGTTATATTTATGACAAAAGTAGGATTAATACATGCTGCTTCTTCATAATGGTCTGATTGTTAATCCCGTATAAACCGTTTAAGTTTTTTTTTTTAAATTTTTTACTTAACCGGTACAAAAGGAAATTTTAAAAATGTCGAACGAAATTTCCATTTTTATTCTTTTTATTTTTTGTGGCCAACTCCATTTGAGCGAAGAAAATTTGTACCGTCTGGGTACAAAAACACATTATAACTTGTCACACGAGATTGATAAGCATGACAAGTTTACGCAACTGGCACCCGGTGACAATTTTCTACCTTCCGATAAGTTCTTGCACATGTACGGCAATTTCAGGCACGGAAGTCGATATCCGGGCAAAAAGGACGTCGTAAACGGTTTGAATATTACGGAGAAGCTAAAGAATTTAAACTTTCCGTCTGATAAATATCAAGAAATGCATTACGTAATTCAAGATATGAAAAATACGGAACATAGTAAGTTGTCGCCGTCAGGCAAACAAGAACATAGAGATATTGGTAGAAAATATGGCGGAATATTCAAGGATTTAAATTTTGGTAAAATCGATCCGAGCAATACAGTTTTTGGACACTCAAATGTATCGAGAGCTATGGAAAGCATGGAAGGGTTCATGGAAACCTTTTTGCCTGTTGTTGATCCTAAATCTAAGAACAATGCCTACAAAAGAGAAAACAAGAGATCTCTGCTGAGATTTTTTGAATTCTGCACTGAATATATCAATACAGTTAAAAACAATAAGACAATGGGGGAAGAAAAGAATACATTTATGAATAATAACAGGGAAAAACTGCTAAGTTACATAAAAGAAAAAGTTGGGCTACCAAACCTCGATTTAACAAATGGTTAACTTTTTATGTTTTGATATATCACTCAGGTTTAATTGAAAATTTTGAATTTTTTATTTAGGGGAGATAAGTGCATGGGTGACTATAGCAGGTATAGAATTGGCAATAAATCGTACTAATAACTGGCTTAAATATTTAGATGATAGAACTCTTGAAATCGTGGAATATGCCTCTGATTTATCAGTATTTTAAAGCTTTTTTTTTAAAATTTATTTATTTTTTTATTGAAGCTATGTAGCAGCTCAAAGTGATAATAATAATATTAATAAGTATGTAGAGGTTAAATCATTAATTATGGCTTCTAATCAGTTCACTTCTCAGAAATATGTTTTATACTTATTTACTTTTTTAATTTTTGTTGAAATTTACTAAATCTTTTGACCATATTACGAAACTCATTTCTTTCCAAAAATTATTGCTTAATTAAATTTTTTGAAACTGGTCGTTATTGAGATTTTAGAATCCAATTGTCTTTAGTTGATCTATCTTAATTAAGCATGTTTAATTGGCATCATTGTCATGTAAAAATATAATACTTGATACTCTTAAAAAATTTTGTTTAACGTTTGAATATTGACTGCTAGTTGTGTGTTGGCCTGGTAATGTTTCTTTTCATGAGAATATTATGATTCTAAATAAGAGTTCTTTCCTTCAAAATGTTCTGTTTCTTTCAGTATGCTGTTGGTTAATCTGTAGTACATAGTTGACATGTCGTAAATCTTCTCTTTAAAATTACATTTTTTTGTATAGTTCAGTTAAAAGGGCACCAAAAATCTGTTTCAATAATTTTTTATTATAACATTTAAACAGGCATATTGGGAGAAAGGCCCTGGTGTGAAAATAAACTATGCCATGAGTTGTGGAGTCATTAAAGAAATTTTTGGCATATATGATGAAATTCTGGCTAAAAAAAGGTTAGTTATGTCTAATAATCTGTTTACAGTTGAAATAAGTTTATCATTAGAATTGTTTTAAATGATTCATCAAACAACCACTTTTTATTTAATATGAACTTCATGCAGCAAGGAGATTGCAAGATTTTACTTTAGCCATGCTGAAACATTGATACCTCTGTTGAACATCATTGGATTGTTCAGGGGTGATCCACCATTGAAACATAACACTTTCGAAGCTAACAAGAACAGGGAGTTCAAAACAACCAGGGTTTCTCCCTTTGCCACTAATTTTGTTTTTGTACTTATGGAGCGTGAGAAAACAGCGTATATACGTCTCTATTTCAAAGGAGAACCCTACCAATTTAGCTTTTGTAAATCAAGCATTTGTGAATACTCGAAGGTAAAGCAATATTTGCAGGAATACATCACAAATTGTATTGACAGTACTGATTGCAGATATAAACCTGTTGGTCATTTGAAATTTTTTTTCCAGATATATTAGTAAGCCTGATTTATATCTTTAATATCACTCAGAATCCTTCCGACCGAAGAAATAATTATGTTGAACATGGTACTTTGAAGTTCCTAAACATGATATGCTGTTTGGGGATTATCAGTTACATTCTCATTTGATCAAGATTGAGCTTGGCCTCCTATAGTAATTCAGCCAAAATTAATTCCATGAAAAATTATTTTCACTTTGTTCCCATCGAATTTGACTCATTTATGCTTTGTTAATATATTCTGTTTACCTTATTTAATTTAATTTTGTGTTGTTTTTTAACAGTTTACACAAAAGTAAGTTTATCGTTTGCGTTGAATGAAAATTAAAAGTTTATTTTATATTTATGGCGTGTCGATGCTTGATATACGCGAATAGTTCAAACAACGTTGAACGTAACATGCGCCGTCGCAATAATTCTTTATTTTCAGTTGAAAAGGGGCTATCCATAAAGGATGTCGCGCTTTTTTTAGCGTTTTTGACCCCTCTCGTGTCATAAACTGTCACAAATCGACCGACCCCTCATAAATAAGCA